GGGGCTCTGTCCGTGTGTCCAGGGTGTCTGGGGTGTGTCTGTGTGTCCATCCGGGGCGCTGTCCGTGTGTCTGTCTGGGGAACTGTCCGTGTGTCCATCCGGGGCTCTGTCCGTGTGTCCATCCAGGGCTCTGTCTGTGTGTCCATCAGGGCTCTGTCCGTGTGTCCATCCAGGGCTCTGTCCGTGTGTCCAGAGGGTTTTGGGTGTGTCCGTGTGTCCATCCAGGGCTCTGTCCATGTGTCCGGGGGGTCTGGGGCTCTGTCCGTGTGTCCATCCAGAGCTCTGTCCGTGTGTCCATCCGGGGCTCTGTCCGTGTGTCCATCCAGGGCTGTCACTGCCATGGGGGTCACTCTGTGGGACTGCCCATGGGCCTGTCCCTGCTGGAGCTCTGTCCGTGTGTCCATCCGTGTGTCCGTGGGTGTGTCCGTGTGTCCATCCCGTGTCCGTGTGTCCATCCATGTGTCCGTCACTTCCAGAAGAGCACGTTCCAGAGCAGCAGCCAGCAGGGGTAGGCGCCCAGGCAGAGCAGGGGGCTCAGGTGTGCTCAGGTGTGGGGTCCATGGGTGTGTCCGTGTGTCCGTGGGTGTGTCCGTGTGTCCATCTGTGTGTCCGTCCCGTGTCCGTGTGTCCGTCCCGTGTCCGTCCCATGTCTCTCACTTCCAGAAGAGCACGTTCCAGAGCAGCAGCCAGCAGGGGTAGGCGCCCAGGCAGAGCAGGGGGCTCAGGTGTGCCCCGTGCAGGTGCTCCTGCAGCAGCCCCTGGCCCAGCGCCCCCAGGAAGCGCTGCCAGGCCTCGCCCAGCCCCGCCGGTGCCTCCAGCAGCTCCCGCTCCAGCAGCACGGCCAGGAACAGCGACAGTCCTGGTGTGGTCAGCACCAGGAGAATGGCCAGGGGCAGCCTGCAGAGGGCAGGGGGTTAGAGGCCCCTGGGACCCCCGAAAACCACCCCAGGAACAGCGACAGCCCCGGTGTGGTCAGCACCAGGAGCACGGCCAGGGGCAGCCTGGGGGGGACAGGGGGTTAGAGACCCCTGGGACCACCCTGAGACCCCCGGGAACCACCCAGAGCCCCCCAGGAACAGCAACAGCCCCAGCGTGCTCAGCACCAGCAGCACGGCCAGGGGCAGCCTGGGGAGGGCAGGGGGTTAGAGACCCCTGGGACCACCCAAAACCTCCCCAGGAACCACCCAGAGCCCCCCAGGAACCACCCTGAGACCCCTGGGACCCCCGGGAACCACCCCAGGAACAGCGACAGCCCCGGCGTGGTCAGCACCAGGAGAACGGCCAGGGGCAGCCCAGGGTGGCCAGGGACCATCTGGGGCCACCCAGAGCCCCCCAGGGACACCCAGGGGACACCCAGGGACACCCAGGGACCACCAGGGACACCCAGGGGACACCCAGAGGACACCCAGGGACCACCAGGGTCCCCATCCTGTCCCCATCCTGTCCCCATCCTGTCCCCGTCCTGTCCCTGTGCTGTCCCGGTGCTGTCCCCATGCTGTCCCCATCCCTGTCCCAGTCCTGTCCCCATCCTGTCCCCGTCCTGTCCCCACGCTGTCCCCACGCTGTCCCCCACTGACCTGCTGCCCCCGGGCCGGACAGCAGCCGCGGGTGGCACGAGGGTGGCACCCAGCAGGAAGCCCAGGGAGAAGTTGAGCAGGGCCAGGCAGGTGAGGAGCAGCGCCAGGGCCAGCAGGGCCAGCAGCTTCAGGGTCATCCAGCCACGCTGGCCACCGCCGGACAGCGCCCTGGGGACACACAGGGACACACAGTGTCACCCTGGGGTCACACAGTGTCACACAGGGTCACACAGTGTCACCCCGGGGTCACCCAGGGTCATCCAGCCGCGCTGGCCACCGCCGGACAGCGCCCTGGGGACACACAGGGACACCCAGTGTCACCCCAGGGTCACACGGGGTCACCCAGGGTCACACGGGCAGTGCCCGTACCTGTGGGTGCTGTGGGGCAGCCCCACACCCATACCCATACCCACCTGTGGGTGCTGTGGGGCAGCGCCATCCCCATCCCCATCCCCATACCCACCTGTGGGTGCTGTGGGGCAGCCCCATACCCCATACCCACCTGTGGGTGCTGTGGGGCAGCCCCACACCCCGTACCCACCTGTGGGTGCTGTGGGGCAGCCCCGTACCCACCTGTGGGTGCTGTGGGGCAGCGCCATCCCCGCCACGTAGATGCCGATCAGCGCCAGCACCACGGCCTCGGCCTCGCCCACGGGGAAGTGCTGGGTGGCCACGGCCTGGCCCCGCACGGGCAGCAGGTACAGGGCGGCCCCCGCGCCCCCCGAGACCAGAATGGGGGGCAGGAGCCACAGGAGCCCCCCGCGGGCCTGGGGGGCACAAATGGGGCACAATGTGGGGCACAGTGTGGGGCACAGGGGGTACAATGGGGTCAGGGTGTGGGGCACATGGGGTACAGGGGGTCAGGGTGTGGGGCACAGGGGGTCAGGGTGTGGGGCACAGGGGGGTCAGGGAGTCAGGGTGTGGGGCACAGGGGGCACAGGGGGCACAGGGGGCACAGGGAGTCAGGGTGTGGGGCACAGGGGGCACAGGGGGGTCAGGGTGTGGGGCACAGGGGGCACAATGGGGTCACAGTGGGGTCCAGGTGGGGGGGTTGTGGGGCTGAGTGGGGATTTGGGGTCAGGGCAGGGTCCCAGGGGTGACCATGGGAGCTGGGGGGTCAGCATGGGGGGCTGGGAATGGGATTGGGGGTCCCGGGGGTCTCGGAGGGCTCTGGGGTCACTCTGGGGGTCCCGGGGTGGGTCTGAGGTCACTCTGGGGGTCACTCTGGGGGTCCCGGGGTGGCTCTGGGGTCACTCTGGGGGTCCCAGGTGGGTCTGGGGTCTCTCACCTCCTCGGGCGGGGGGTCCCCCTCCCCCTCATCGCTCCGGCTCAGCCGCATCCACAGGTCCAGGGCGTGGGGGAGGGGTCAAGGAAAGGGCCGGACCCCCTCGGACCCCAAAATTCAGTGACCCCCGACCCCCCTCTGACCCCAAACCCCAAATCAGTGACCCCAAACCCCATTCACCGGCCCCAAATCCCATTCACTGAGCCCAAACTCCCCTTTTCCCCCAAATCCCCCCAATTCTTTTCCCATTTCCCCCCTTCCCTCCCCAAAATTTCCTTTTTCCCCAAATCCCCCTTTTCCCACTCCATCCCCCCAATTCCCCCTTTCCATCCCTTTTCCCCCACTCCCCCTTCTCCTCTTTCCCCCAATTCCCCATTTCCCCCAAATCCCGCATGTTTTACCCATTTTTCTCCTCCAAATCCCCATTTCCTCCCATTTCCCCCCCATTTTTCCTGTTTTTTCTCATTTCCTCCCATTTTTGCCCCATTTCACCCCGGATATGCGCAGGGCCAGCACGAGCAGCAGCAGCCCCAGGGCGGGCATGCAGGAGCCCATTTCCCCATTTTTACCCTGTTTTTTTCCCATTTTTGCCCTGTTTTTTCCCATTTTTACCCCGTTTTTTGTCATTTTTTCCCGTTTTTCCCCATTTTTTCCCGTTTTTGCCCCATTTTACCCCGGATATGCGCAGGGCCAGCACGAGCAGCAGCAGCCCCAGGGCGGGCATGCAGGAGCCCATTTCCCCTGATTTTAATCAATTTTTACCCTGTTTTTACCCCATTTTTTTCCCTTTTTTCCCCGTTTTTCCCCGTTTTCCCCCATTTTTTCCCGTTTTTGGTGTTTTTCACCCCGGATATGCGCAGGGCCAGCACGAGCAGCAGCAGCCCCAGGGCGGGCATGTAGGAGCCCATTTCCCCTGTTTTTAATCCATTTTTACCCTGGTTTTACCCCATTTTTTGCCTGTTTTTTGCCATTTTTTCCCCGTTTTTCCCCGTTTTTGCCCATTTTTCCCCGTTTTCCCCGTTTTTCACCCGGGATATGCGCAGGGCCAGCACGAGCAGCAGCAGCCCCAGGGCGGGCATGTAGGAGCCCATTTTCCCTGTTTTTAATCCATTTTTACCCTGTTTTTACCCCATTTTTTGCCCCTTTTTTGCCCTTTTTTCCCCGTTTTTCCCCGTTTTTTCCCGTTTTCCCCATTTTTCCCATTTTTCCCCCTTTTCACCCCGGATATGCGCAGGGCCAGCACGAGCAGCAGCAGCCCCAGGGCGGGCATGTAGGAGCCCATTTCCCTGGTTTTAATCCATTTTTACCCTGTTTTTTCCCATTTTTACCCCGTTTTTTGCCCATTTTTTGCCATTTTTTCCCGTTTTTTCCCGTTTTCCCCCATTTTTGCCCTATTTTGCCCGGATATGCGCAGGGCCAGCACGAGCAGCAGCAGCCCCAGGGCGGGCATGCAGGAGCCCATTTCCCTGTTTTTAATCCGTTTTTACCCCATATTTTACCCCATTTTTTGCCCTTTTTCCCCATTTTTCCCCGTTTTTTCCCATTTTTCCCCCATTTTTTCCCGTTTTTGCCCCATTTCACCCCGGATATGCGCAGGGCCAGCACGAGCAGCAGCAGCCCCAGGGCGGGCATGCAGGAGCCCATTTCCCCTGATTTTAATCCATTTTTACCCAGTTTTTACCCCATTTTTTGCCCGTTTTTTGCCATTTTTTCCCCGTTTTCTCCCGTTTTTTCCCGTTTTCCCCCATTTTTGCCCCATTTCACCCCGGATATGCGCAGGACCAGCACGAGCAGCAGCAGCCCCAGGGCGGGCATGTAGGAGCCGATGGAGACAAAGCGGGACAGGGAGGGCAGCAGGTAGAGGAAATAGGATTGGTGCAGCCGCTCCAGCAGGTTGTTCAGCTTCCGGAACATTCCCTCCAGGGTCCTGGGGGGTGGGAGTGGGATTGGGGTCAGGAGAGACCCCCCAGAACCCCCAAATCCATGGTGAGACCCCCCAGAACCCCCCAAATCCAGGGAAAGACCCCCCAGAGCCCCCCAGCCCCAGCAGATTGTTCAGCTTCCGGAACATTCCCTCCAGGGTCCTGGGGGGCAGGGGGGGATTGGGGTCAGGAGAGACCCCCAGGACCCCCCAAATCCACAGTGAGACCCCCCAAGACCCCCCAAACCCACAGAGGGACCCCCCAGAGCCCCCCAGCTCCAGCAGGTTGTTCAGCTTCCGGAACATTCCCTCCAGGGTCCTGCGGGGGACTGGAGTCAGTGGAGACCCCCAGGATCCCCCAATTCAGGGAGAGACCCTTGGGATACCCCAAAATCCAGGGAGAGACCCCCCAGGAACCCCCAAATCCAGGGAGAGACCCCCAGGATCCCCCAAATCCAGGGAAAGACCCCCTGAGACCCCCCAAATCCAGGGAAAGACCCCCAGGACCCCCTCCAGGAGAGCCCCCAGTGTCCCCTGAACCCCAGAACCCTCCAAATACCCCAAAACCGCCCCAAAACACCCTGGGACCCCCAAAACTCCCCCAGACTCACAGAACTCCTCCCCAGGACCCCCAAAACCCCCCCCAGGACCCCCAAACCCCCCCCAGGACCCCGGTACCTGCCCAGCGCCCCCAGGTGGAACTTGTGCTGGCGGAAGCTGTTGATGCCCAGCAGGGTCAGGGACCCCCAGGGACCCCCAAACCCCCCCAGGGACCCCCCAAACCACCCCCAGGGACCCCCAAACCACCCCCAGGACCCCCCAAAAACCCCCCCCAGGACCCGGTACCTGCCCAGCGCCCCCAGGTGGAACTTGTGCTGGCGGAAGCTGTTGATGCCCCGCAGGGTCAGGGACCCCCAGGGACCCCCAAACCCCCCAAAACCCCCCAAAAAGCCCCCCCAAATCCCCCCAAGGACCCCCCAAAACCCCCCCCAGGACCCGGTACCTGCCCAGCGCCCCCCGGTGGAACTTGTGCTGGCGGAAGCTGTTGATGCCGCGCAGGGTCAGGGACCCCCAGGGACCCCCCAAAACCCCCCAGGGACCCCCAAAACCCCCCAGGACCCCCCAAACCCCCCCCAGGACCCCGGTACCTGCCCAGCGCCCCCAGGTGGAACTTGTGCTGGCGGAAGCTGTTGATGCCCCGCAGGGTCAGGGACCCCCAGGGACCCCCAGGGACCCCCAAACCCCCCCTGGGACCCCCAAACCCCCCCCAGGACCCCCCAAATCCCCCCAGGACCCCGGTACCTGCCCAGGGCCCCCAGGTGGAACTTGTGCTGGCGGAAGCTGTTGATGCCGCGCAGGGTCAGGGCCTCGATGCGGAAGCGCAGGAACAGCCCGTGCGCCCCCCCGGGACCCCCCCCGGCCTGGCCCAGCACCATCAGCCCCATGGTCCGCAGGCTCTGGGCATAGCCCGGCCCCGAGGGGCCCTCGGGGGGCGGCAGCTGTGGGGAGGGGTCAGTCACTGACCACTGAGTGACCACTGAGTGACCCTGAGTGACCACTGACCCACTGACCCCTCAGTGACCCCCCCATGGTCCGCAGGCTCTGGGCATAGCCCGGCCCCGAGGGGCCCTCCGGGGGCGGCAGCTGTGGGGAGGGGTCAGTCACTGACCACTGAGTGACCACTGAGTGGCCCTGAGTGACCACTGAGTGACCCTGAGTGACCACTGACCCACTGACCCCCTCAGTGACCCCCCATGGTCCGCAGGCTCTGGGCATAGCCCGGCCCCGAGGGGCCTTCGGGGGGCGGCAGCTGCGGGGAGTGACTCCTGAGTGACCACTGAGTGACCCTGAGTGACCCCTGAGTGACCACTGAGTGACCCTGAGTGACCCCTGAGTGACCACTGAGTGACCCTGAGTGACCACTGACCCACTGACCCCTCAGTGACCCCCCCATGGTCCGCAGGCTCTGGGCATAGCCCGGCCCCGAGGGGCCCTCGGGGGGCGGCAGCTGTGGGGCACAGGGTCACTGAGTGACCCTGAGTGACCCTGAGTGACCCTGAGTGACCACTGAGTGACCACTGACCCACTGACCCCTCACTGACCCCTCAGTGACCCCCCCATGGTCCGCAGGCTCTGGGCATAGCCCGGCCCCGAGGGGCCCTCGGGGGGCGGCAGCTGTGGGAGGGGTCAGTCACTGACCACTGAGTGACCCCTGAGTGACCCTGAGTGACCACTGAGTGACCCTGAGTGACCACTGAGTGACCCTGAGTGACCACTGAGTGACCACTGAGTGACCACTGAGTGACCCTGAGTGACCCTGAGTGACCACTGAGTGACCCTGAGTGACCCCTGAGTGACCCTGAGTGACCCCTGAGCGACCACTGAGTGACCACTGACCCCTCAGTGACCACTGAGTGACCCCTGAGTGACCACTGAGTGACCACTGACCCCTCAGTGACCCCCCAGACCCCCACCTTGCCCTGGAAGGTGCAGAGCAGGCCGCTCTTGAGGCAGAAGGAGTGGAAGAGGGTCAGCAGGTCCAGGTTGGGCACAGCAGCCCCCAGACCCCCCCAGGACCCCCCAAAGCCCCCCAGGACCCCCCAAAGCCCCCCAGGACCCCCCAGGACCCCCCAGACCCCCACCTTGCCCTGGAAGGTGCAGAGCAGGCCGCTCTTGAGGCAGAAGGAGTGGAAGAGGGTCAGCAGGTCCAGGTTGGGCACTTGCCCGTTCAGCCCCTCCACGGCCACGTCCACGCTGGTCAGCACGTCCGAGCTCAGCTCCAGCGCCAGCGCCGCCTGGATGGCGCCCGCCCGGCCCGGGACCCCCCCCGAGTGGATACCTGGGGAGGGGGCACACGTGAGACCCCCTGAGAGACCCCCACGGGACCCCCATGGCACCCCCAGAATGGCCACGGGACCCCCAGAACGGCCACGGCACCCCCGTGGGACCCCCGTGCCCACTGCGGTCACTGTGTCCGTGCCCAGGGTCACCTGGATGGCCCCGCCCGGCCCGGGACCCCCCCCGAGGGGATACCTGGGGAGGGGGCACCTGTGAGACCCCCCTGGTACCCCCATGGCACCCCCAGAACGGCCACGGGACCCCCAGAATGGCCACGGGACCCCCAGAACAGCTACAGGACCCCCATGTGACCCCCGTGTGACCCCCGTGGGACCCCCGTGGGACCCCCGTGCCCACTGCGGTCACTGTGTCCGTACCCAGGGTCACCTGGATGGCCCCGCCCGGCCCAGGACCCCCCCCGAGTGGATACCTGGGGAGGGGGCACCCGTGAGACCCCCTGAGAGACCCCCACAGTGCCCCCATGGCACCCCCAGAATGGCCACGGGACGCCCGTGTGACCCCCGTGTGACCCCCGTGTGACCCCCGTGCCCACTGCGGTCACTGTGTCCGTGCCCAGCTCCGGCCAGGGTCACCTGGGGGGCCCCGAGCCCTCCCAGTGCTCCCAGTTCGACCAGTAAGGATCTAACACTGTCCCCCAGTGCTCCCAGTCTCACCAGTAAGGGTCTAACACTGTACCCCAGTCCCTCCCAGTGCTCCCAGTCTCACCAGTAAGGATCTAACACTGCCCCCCAGTGCTCCCAGTGCTCCCAGTCTCACCAGTAAGGAGCTAACACTGCACCCCAGTGCTCCCAGTCTCACCAGTAAGGATCTAACACTGTACCCCAGTCCCTCCCAGTGCTCCCAGTCTCACCAGTAAGGATCTAACACTGTACCCCAGTCCCTCCCAGTGCTTCCAGTCTCACCAGTAAGGATCTAACACTGTACCCCAGTCCCTCCCAGTGCTCCCAGTTTGACCAGTAAGGATCTAACACTGTACCCCAGCCCCTCCCAGTGCTCCCAGTCTCACCAGTAAGGCTCACACCCTGTACCCCAATCCCTCCCAGTGCTCCCAGTGTCACCAGTAAGGGTCCCACCGTGCCCCCCAGCCCTCCCAGTGCTCCCAGTCTCACCAGTAAGGTTGACATCGTGGTAGGCCTCCAGCCAGGCCTGTGTCCCCAGCAGGTCGTGCTCGGTCACCAGGAAGATGAGATCCTTGGCCCAGTACACCTGGCCTGGAAACCAGTATAAACCAGTATGGACCAGTACAGCCCAGTACAGCCCCAGCAAGATGAGATCCTTGGCCCAGTACACCTGGCCTGGAAACCAGTATAAACCAGTATGGACCAGTATGGACCAGTACAGCCCCAGCAAGGTGAGATCCTTGGCCCAGTACACCTGGCCTGGAAACCAGTATAAACCAGTATGGACCAGTACAGCCCAGTACAGCCCCAGCAAGGTGAGATCCTTGGCCCAGTACACCTGGCCTGGGGAAACTGGGAGCTGTGGGCCTGCCCAGTATGGACCAGTATGGACCAGTACAGCCAGTACAGCTCCAGTCCAGCCCCAGTACCTCCCAGTACATCCCAGTACAGCCCCAGTACCTCCCAGTACCTCCCAGTACCTCCCAGTACCTCCCAGTACAGCCCCAGTACCTCCCAGCACAGCCCCAGTACATCCCAGTACAGCCCCAGTACATCCCAGTACCTCCCAGTACAGCGCCAGTATGGACCAGTACATCCCAGTACCTCCCAGTACAGCCCCAGTACCTCCCAGTACCTCCCAGTACGTCCCAGTACCTCCCAGTACAGCCCCAGTACCTCCCAGTACAGCCCCAGTACCTCCCAGTACCTCCCAGTATCTCCCAGTACAGCCCCAGTATCTCCCAGGACAGTCCCAGTACATCCCAGTACATCCCAGTACAGCCCCAGTACCTCCCAGTACAACCCCTGTACATCCCAACACAGCCCCAGTACATCCCAGTACATCCCAGTACAGCCCCAATACAGTCCCAGTACCTCCCAGTACAGCCCCAGTACCTCCCAGTACCTCCCAGTACAGCCCCAGTACCTCCCAGTACCTCCCAGTACACCCCCAGTACATCCCAGTACAGCCCAGCACAGCCCCAGTACCTCCCAGTACCTCCCAGTACATCCCAGTACCTCCCAGTACAGCCCCAGTACCTCCCAGTACAGCCCCAGTACCTCCCAGTACCTCCCAGTATCTCCCAGTACAGCCCCAGTATCTCCCAGGACAGTCCCAGTACATCCCAGTACATCCCAGTACAGCCCCAGTACCTCCCAGTACAACCCCTGTACATCCCAACACAGCCCCAGTACATCCCAGTACATCCCAGTACAGCCCCAATACAGTCCCAGTACCTCCCAGTACAGCCCCAGTACCTCCCAGTACCTCCCAGTACAGCCCCAGTACCTCCCAGTACCTCCCAGTACACCCCCAGTACATCCCAGTACAGCCCAGCACAGCCCCAGTACCTCCCAGTACCTCCCAGTACAGCCCCAGTACCTCCCAGTACCTCCCAGTCCAGCCCCAGTACCTCCCAGTACAGCCCCAGTACATCCCAGTACCTCCCAGTCCAGCCCAGCAGCCCCCCAGGACCCCCTGGCAGCCCCACAGACCCCCGTGCCCCCCACCTCAGCAGTGCCCCCCATGCCCCCTGTGCCCCACCTCAGCAGTGCCCCCCGTGCCCCCTGTGCCCCCCATGCCCACCTCGGCAGTGCCCCCCATGCCCCCCGTGCCCCCCATACCCCCCGTGCCCCCCGTGCCCCCCAGCCCCCGTGCCCCCCGTGCCCCCCAGCCCCCAGCCCCACCTCGGCAGTAGCCGGCCAGCGCCAGCAGCAGCCCCACGGCCTGGTTGTTCTTGCTGCCCTCGGAGCCGGGCACCAGCAGCAGCAGCGCCTCGGTGCTGGCGGCACGGGGGGCACGCAGCACCCCGAACACGTTGGTACCCCGCACCAGCTGGGGGGGACAGTGGGGTCAGCACCCCATCATCCCCACGGCACCCCAAACATCCCCACAGCACCCCAAACATCCCCACGGCACCCCAAACACGTTGGTGCCCCGCACCAGCTGGGGGGGACAGCGGGGTCAGCACCCCAAACATCCCCACAGCACCCCGAAAACGTTGGTGCCCCGCACCAGCTGGGGGGGACAGCGGGGTCAGCACCCCAAAACCTGAACAGAGACCCTAAACATCGGCACAGCACCCCGAAAACGTTGGTGCCCCTCACCAGCTGGGGGGGACAGCGGGGTCAGCACCCCAAAACCTGAACCGGGACCCTAAACCTACCCTGGGACCCCAAACATCCCCACAGCACCCCAAACATCCCCACAGCACCCCAAACATCCCCACAGCACCCCAAACATCCCCACGGCACCCCCAACATCCCCACGGCACCCCGAAAACGTTCGTGCCCCGCACCAGCTGGGACAGGGACAGCAGGGTCAGCACCCCAACATCCCTGCAGCACCCCAAAACCTGCCCAGCGACCCCAAACATCCCCACGGCACCCCAAACATCCCCACGGCACCCCAAAACCTGCCTGGGGACCCCAAACATCCCCACGGCACCCCGAAAACGTTGGTGCCCCGCACCAGCTGGGGGGGACAGCGGGGTCAGCACCCCAAAACCTGAACAGGGACCCTACCCTGGGACCCCAAACATCCCCGCAGCACCCCAAACATCCCCACAGCACCCCAAACATCCCCACGGCACCCCCAACATCCCCACAGCACCCCAAACGTCCCCACGGCACCCCAAACATCCCCACAGCACCCCGAAAACGTTGGTACCCCGCACCAGCTGAGGGGACAGCGGGGTCAGCACCCAACATCCCCACAGCACCCCAAACATCCCCACAGCACCCCAAACATCCCCACAGCACCCCAAAACCTGCCCAGCGACCCCAAACGTCCCCACGGCACCCCAAAAACGTTGGTGCCCCACATCAGCTGGGGGGAACAGTGGGGTCAGCACCCCAAAACCTGGACAGGGACCCCAGACCTGAACAGGGACCCCAAACCTGCACAGAGACCCCAAATCCACCCTGGGACCCCCATCCCCCCATTCCCAGTCACCCCAGTTCCCCCAGTCACCCCATACCCACAGCATCCCCCATTCCCGCATTCCCAGTGCCCCCAGTGCCCCATTCCCAGTGCCTCCAGTGCTCCCAGTCCCCCATTCCCAGTGCTCCCAGTGCCTCAATCCAAGTGCTCCCAGTGCCCCATTCCCAGTGCTCCCAGTGTTCCCAGTTTCCCATTCCCAGTGCTCCCAGTTTGCCATTCCCAGTGCTCCCAGTTTGCCATTCCCAGTGCTCCCAGTGTTCCCAGTTTGCCATTCCCAGTGCTCCCAGTTTGCCATTCCCAGTGCTCCCAGTGTTCCCAGTTTGCCATTCCCAGTGCTCCCAGTTTCCCATTCCCAGTGCTCCCAGTTTGCCATTCCCAGTGCTCCCAGTTCCCCATTCCCAGTTCCCCATTCCCAGTGCCCCCAGTGCCCCATTCCCAGTGCTCCCAGTGCTCCCAGTGCCCCATTCCCAGTGCTCCCAGTGCCCCATTCCCTGTATTCCCAGTGCCCCATTCCCAGTGCTCCATTCCCAGTGCTCCATTCCCAGCGCTCCCAGTGCTCCCAGTGCCCCATTCCCAGTGCTCCCAGTGCTCCCAGTGCCCCATTCCCAGCGCTCCCAGCGCTCCCAGTGCTCCCAGTGCTCCCAGTGCTCCCAGTGCCCCATTCCCAGCGCTCCCAGTGCTCCCAGTGCTCCCAGTGCTCCCAGTGCCCCATTCCCAGTGCTCCCAGTGCTCCCAGTGCCCCATTCCCAGAGCTCCCAGTGCTCCCAGTGCCCCATTCCCAGTGCTCCCAGTGCTCCCAGTGCCCCCAGTGCCCCCATTCCCAGAGCTCCCAGTGCTCCCAGTGCCCCCAGTGCTCCCAGTGCTCCACTCCCCTGTTCCCAGTGCTCCCAGTGCCCCATTCCCAGTGCTCCCAGTGCCCCATTCCCAGTGCTCCCAGTGCTCCCAGTGCCCCCAGTGCCCCATTCCCCGTGCTCCCAGTCCCCCATTCCCAGTGCTCCCAGTGCCCATCCCAGTGCTCCCAGCGCTCCCAGTGCCCCATTCCCAGTGCTCCCAGTGCTCCCAGTGCTCCCAGTGCCCCATTCCCAGCACTCCCAGTGCTCCCAGTGCCCCCAGTACGTAGCGCTCGTGGGCCTCGTCGGGGAAGGGCAGCGTGCGGCTGAAGGGCTGGCGATGGACCTCGAGCCCCAGCTGGAACATGGTCTGCTCCAGCCACTCCACGGGCATGCCCCTAAAAATAAATAAATATGGGATTGGGGTACCCCAAACCATCCCCAAACCATCCCTGAACCATCCCCAAACCCCACAGGCTCTGCTCCAGCCACTCCACGGGCATGCCCCTAAAAATAAAATATGGGATTGGGGTACCCCAAACTATCCCTAAACCATCCCTGAACCATCCCCAAACCATCCCCAAAACATCCCCAAACCCCACAGGCCCTGCTCCAGCCACTCCACGGGCATGCCCCTAAAACAAATAAATATAAATAAATATGGGATTGGGGCACCCCAAACCATCCCCAAACCATCCCTGAACCATCCCTGAACCATCCCTGAACCATCCCTGAACCATCCCCAAACCCCACAGGCTCTGCTCCAGCCACTCCACGGGCATGCCCCTAAAAATAAATCAATATGGGATTGGGGCACCCCAAACCATCCCCAAACCATCCCTGAACCATCCCCGAACCATCCCCAAACCCCACAGGCTCTGCCCCAGCCACTCCACGGGCATGCCCCTAAAAATAAATAAATATGGGATTGGGATATCCCAAACTATCCCTGAACCATCCCCAAAACATCCCCAAACCATCCCCAAACCATCCCCAAACCATCCCCAAACCCCACAGGCCCTGCTCCAGCCACTCCACGGGCATGCCCCTAAAACAGTTATGGGATTGGGATTGGGATTGGGGCACCCCAAACCATCCCCCAAATCCCCTCTCCAGCCACTCCAAGCAGGAGTGGGAATGGGAACTCCCCCCAAACCCCAAAGGCGTTACTCTGCTCTCCACTCATCCCCCAAAACCATCTGGATGTGTCCCCCCTCCCCAAACCCCCCCAACCCACCCCCAAACTCAACCTCAAATCCCCCTCCCCAAATCCCCCCATTCTCCTCTTATGCCCCCCAAAATTCCCAGGTGTGTCCCTCCTCCCTAAAACCAACCCCAAACCCCAAATCCCAAACCCCAAATCCCCCATTCCCACCCCGCTCTCCTCTTGTGTGCCCCAAAATTCCCAGGTGTGTTCCCCAAACCCCAATCCTGACCCCAAATCCCCCGTTCTCACCCCACTCTCCTCTTGTGCGCCCCGAAGCCCCAGGTGTGTTCCCCAAACCCCAATTCTGACCCCAAATCCCCCGTTCTCACCCCCCTCTCCTCTTCTCTTGTGCCCCCCAAAGCCCCAGGTATGTTCTCCAAACCCCCCAAACCCCAATCCTGACCCCAAATCCCCCGTTCTCACCCCACTCTCCTCTTGTGCGCCCCGAAGCCCCAGGTGTGTTCCCCAAACCCCAATTCTGACCCCAAATCCCCCGTTCTCACCCCGCTCTCCTTTTGTGCCCCCCAAAATTCCCAGGTGTGTTCCCCAAACCCCAAACCCCAACCCTGACCCCAAATCCCTCTGTTCTCACCCCACTTTCCTCTTGTGCGCCCCGAAATCCCGGGCCAGGGCGAGGGCGCGGGGCCCGAGGTCGGAGCCCTCCCCCACCATGGTGGAGCCCATGGCGTTCTCGGACAGGTACGTGCGGGGAGCCAGGGCCGGCAGCAGCAGGAACCAGGTGAGCCCCGCCAGGTAACTCAGGACACTGCGGGGGGCACCCCAAAATCACCATCGGCACCCCAAAATAACCCCTGACACCCCAAACCCACCCCAAACCCAGCCCTGACACCCCCACCCTGCACAGGTACGTGCGGGGAGCCAGGGCCGGGAGCAGCAGGAACCACGTGAGCCCCGCCAGGTAACTCAGCACACTGTGAGGGGCACCCCAAAACTGTCAGTGACACCCCAAAAATAACCCCATAACCATCAGTGACACCCCAAAACCATCACTGACACCCCATAACCATCAGTGACACCCCAAACCCACCCAAAATCATCAGTGACACCCCAAAAACGATCCCATAACCATCAGTGACACCCCAAAACCATCAGTGACACCCCAAAAATAACCCCATAACCATCAGCGACATCCCAAAACCATCAGTGACACCACTAAATAACCCCAAAATCATCAGTGACACCCCAAATCCACCCCAAAACCATCAGTGACACCCCAAAATAACCCCTGACACCCCAAACCCACCCCAAAATCATCAGTGACACCTCAAAAATAACCCCATAACCATCAGTGACACCCCAAACCCACCCCAAAATCATCAGTGACACCTCAAAAATAACCCCATAACCATCAGCGACATCCCAAAACCATCAGTGACACCACAAAATAACCCCATAACCATCAGTGACACCCCAAAGTGCCCCAGGACTCACCAGAGGGATTTCAGGCTCCCCCCAGGGGTTTTGGGGTCCCCCCACACTCCCCGGGGGGGGGGGGTGTTGGGATCCCCTCAGGGGTGTTGGGGTCCCCCCAGGTTTCGGGGTCCCCCCAGGGCTTTTGGGGTCCCCCCAGGGCTTTTGGGGTGCCCTCACTCACCAGAGTGGGGTGTTAGGGTCCCCCAGGGGTGTTGGGATCCCCCCAGGTTTTGGGGTGCCCCCACTCACCAGAGGGGGGTGTTGGGGTCCCCCCAGGGGTGTTGGGATCCCCCCAGGGGTTTCGGGGTTCCCCCCAGGGGTTTTGGGGTCCCCCCAGGGGTTTCGGGGTGCCCCCACTCACCAGAGGGGGGTGTTGAGGCGCAGCAGCAGCCGGGCCAGCGCCCGCCGGCACTGCGGGTCCGACAGCAGCCCCATGGCAGGGGGGTGGGCTGTGGGGACCCCAAAACAGCCCTGAGCCCCATGGCAGGGGGACGGGCTGTGGGGACCCCAAAACCCCAGTGAGCCCCCCAAAACAGCCCTGAGCCCCCCAAACCCCACTGAGACCCCAAAACAGCACTGAGCCCCCCCCAAACCCCACAGAGACCTCACAGGGACCCCAAAACAGCACTGAGACCCTAAAAACCCCACAGAGACCCCACAGGGACCCCAAAACCCACTGAGACCCCAGAGAGACCCCAAACCCCAGAGAGACCCCAAACCCCACTGAGCCCCATGGCAATGGGAATTGGGGATCAGGGGCTGTGGGGAGCAGGGACCCCAAACCCCACTGAGCTCCTAAAAACCCACAGAGACCCCAAAATCCCACTGAGCCCCATGGCAACGGGATCGGGGATCGGGGAACAGGGACCCTAAAAACCCACAGAGACCCCAGACCCCACAGAAACCCCACACACCCGAGCCTTTAAACCCCACTGAGCCCCCAAATCCCCCTCAGGGACTCCCCAAATCCCCCTCAGGGACACCCCAAATCCCCCTCAGGGACACCCCAAATCCCCCTCCGAGCCCCACAGACACCCCAAATCCCCCTCAGGGACACCCCAAATCCCCCTCACGAACACCCCAAATCCCCCTCAGGGACACCCCAAATCCCCCTCACGGACACCCCAAATCCCCTCCCCCTCAGGCCCTGCCGTCCCTCACGCCCCTACACCGCGTTCCCCCGCATCCCACACGGGCCTGACACGGCCCTTCCCCTGCCCCGCACCCCCCTGTGCCCTCCGGGACCCCCGGAATGCCCCAAACCCCCCAAAATGCCCCAAAACGCCCCAAAATGCCCCAAAATGCCCCAAACCCCCAAAACCTGCGGGGCACGGCCGGGCCAGGCCGCTCAATCGCTGCCGGAGCGCGCGGCCAGGGCGAGGCGCGGAGCACAGAGACATCGATCGCGCCGCGCCGCCAGGGGGCGCCCTGAGAGGGGCGGGGAAGTGGGCGGGGCCAGCTGGATGTGGGCGGGGCCAGTAGGATGTGGGCGGGGCCAGCTGGATGTGGGCGGGGCCAGCTGGATGTGGGCGGGGCCAGCTGGATGTGGGCGGGGCCAGCTGGATGTGGGCGGGGCCAAGGAGTAATGGGTTTGGGGGCAAAGGGGGAAAAACGGGGGGAAAGGGGGAAAAAGGGGGAAAAGAGGGAAAAAACGGGGGGAAAACGAGGGGAAAACGGGGGGAAACACGTGGAAAAAGGGGGGAAAGGGGGGAAAAAAGGGGGGAAAGGGGGAAAAACGGGGAAAAAGTGGGGGAAAAAGGGGAAAAATGGGGAAAAGCGGGGGGGCTGGGGACACAAATGGGGCTTGGGGACACAAAGAGGGGAGCAGGACGGGCAGAGGGGTACGGGGGTGTCAGGGACAGCTTGGGGAGCATGGGGGGCACAAAGGGGGGGGAACAGGACGGGCAGAGGGGTACAGGGGTGTCAGGGACAGCTCGGGGGGCTGCGAGGGCAGCGCGGTGGGGAGGGGGCGTGCAAGGGTGTGACACACCCACGGCACGCAGGTGGCACACAGGTGACACTCAGGTGACACAGAACGTGCAGTGACACACCCCAGTTTATTGCCATGGCGCCATGGGACCCCCCCCAAAACCCGTAGGGTCACCACTCCAGTGTCCCCAGTGTCCCCAAAATTGGTCACTGCAGGTCACAGCCCCAGTGTCCCCAGTACTGGTCACTCCAGTGTCCCCAGGAGCAGTGGTCACTGCAGGGTCACAGCCCCAGTGTCCCCAGGAGCAGTGGTCATCGCAGGGTCATTGCAGGTCACAGCCCCAGTGTCCCCAGTACTGGTCACTCCAGTGTCCCCAGGAGCAGTGGTCACTGCAGGGTCACAGCCCCAGTGGCCCCAGTACTGGTCACTCCAGTGTCCCCAGGAGCAGTGGTCACCGCAGGGTCACAGCCCCAGTGTCCCCAGCAGTGGTCACTCCAGTGTCCCCAGGAGCAGTGGTCACTGCAGGGTCTGAGCCCCAGTGTCCCCAGTACTGGTCACTCCAGTGTCCCCAGGAGCAGTGGTCACTGCAGGGTCCCAGCCCCAGTGTCCCAAGGAGCAGTGGTCACCGCAGGGTCACTTCAGGGTCACAGCCCCAGTGTCCCCAGTACTGGTCACTCCAGTGTCCCCAGGAGCAGTGGTCACCGCAGCGATGTCATGCTGCAGCTCCCAGGGGTCAGTTGGTCACTCCAGTGTCCCCACGGTGACCCTGTGGTCACTGTGCCACGGCCGTCCCCGTCCCACAGCCACGTCCCCAGGGGGGTCACAGTTCCACGGTGGTGTCCTGGTGTCCTCAGGGTGGTCACTCTGGTCAGTAACTGTTCCACGGTGGTGTCCTGGTGTCCTCAGGGTGGTCACTCTGGTCAGTAACTGTTCCATAGTGGTGGCCTGGTGTCCCCAGGGTGGTCACTCTGGTCAGTAACTGTTCCATAGTGGTGGCCTGGTGTCCCCAGGGTGGTCACTCTGGTCAGTAACTGTTCCACAGTTGTGTCCTGGTGTCTCTACAGTGGTCACTCTGGTCAGTAACCGTTCCATGGTGGTGTCCTGGTGTCCCCAGGGTGGTCACTCTGGTCACTGTGCCATGGCCATGTCCCTGCAGTGGTCACTGTGCTGGTCACTGCTCCATGGTGGTGTCCTGGGGTGGTCACCGTGGCCACTCACTGTTCCATTGCCATGTCCCTGCAGTGGTCACTGTGCTGGTCACTGCTCCATGGCCGTATCCCGGGCGGTCACTGCGGTCACTCACTGCTCCACGGCCGTGTCCTGAGCGGTCACTGCGGTCACTCACTGCTCCATGGCCATGTCCCGGGTGGTCACTGTGGTCACTCACTGCTCCATGGCGGTGTCCTGGGTGGTCACTGTGCTGGTCACTGCTCCATGGCAATGTCCCGGGCGGTCACTGTGGTCACTCACTGCTCCATGGCAATGTCCTGGGGTGGTCACTGTGGTCACTCACTGCTCCATGGCCGTGTCCTGGGTGGTCACTCTGGTCACTGTGGTCACTCACTGCTCCATGGCAATGTCCTGGGCGGTCACTCACTGCTCCATGGCCGTGTCCTGGGGTGGTCACTGCGGTCACTGCGGTCACTCACTGCTCCATGGCGGTGTCCTGGGCGGTCACTCACTGCTCCATGGCGGTGTCCTGGGCGGTCACTCACTGCTCCATGGCGGTGTCCTGGGCGGTCACTCACTGCTCCATGGCCGTGTCCTGGGTGGTCACTCACTGCTCCATGGCAATGTCCTGGGTGGTCACTGTGCTGGTCACTGCTCCATGGCAATGTCCTGGGTGGTCACTGCGATGGTCACTGCGATGGTCACTGCTCCATGGCGGTGTCCTGGCGCAGCCGGGCCCTGACCACGCCGTCCAGCACGGCGTGCAGCCCCCGGCAGGCAGCCAGGGCGGCGTCCAGCACGGGCCGCAGCCGCTCCTGGTGCAGCCGGGCGCTGAGCTGGCACAGGGCCAGCTGCCCGCTGCCCGCCACCGTGGCCACGGCCAGCCGCGGGCCCCCGGCCGCCTCCTCGGCCGCGCTCAGGTCGCTCAGGGCCACCGGGGGCCCGGCCGGGGGCTCGGCCAGCCCGGCCGAACCGGCCACCACGGCCCCGCGCAGCGCCACGCCCGCGTCCAGCAGCGCCAGCCCGGCCGCGCTGACGCTGGCCCCCAGCTCGCCCCCGTCCGCCTGCAGCACCTGGGGGGAGAGAGCGGTCAGGGACACCCCAAAACACCCAAAATCCACCCAAAATCCACCCAAAAACACCCCAAACCCCAGAGACCCCGTGTGCCCCAGCAGCGCCAGCCCCGCCGCGCTGACGCTGGCCCCCAGCTCGCCCCCGTCCGCCTGCAGCACCTGGGGGAGAGAGCGGTCAGGGACACCCGAAATCCACCCAAAATCCACCGAAAAACACCCCAAAAACACCCCAAACCCCAGACACCCCGTGTGCCCCAGCCCAGCCACGCTGACGCTGGCCCCCAGCTCGCCCCCATCTGCCTGTAGCACCTGGGGGGAGAGAGCGGTCAGGGACACCCAAAACACCCAAAATCCACCCAAAAACACCCCAAACCCCAGAGACCCCGTGTGCCCCAGCAGCGCCAGCCCGGCCGCGCTGACGCTGGCCCCCAGCTCGCCCCCGTCCGCCTGCAGCACCTGGGGGGAGAGAGCGGTCAGGGACACCCCAGAACACCCAAAATCCACCCAAAATCCACCCCAAACCCCAGACACCCCGTGCGCCCCAGCCTGGCCCCGCTGACGCTGGCCCCCAGCTCGCCCCCGTCAGCCTGCAGCACCTGGGGGGAGAGAGCGGTCAGGGACACCCCAAATCCACCCAAAATCCACCCAAAATACACCCAAAAACACCCAAAATCCACCCAGAAACACCCCAAACCCCAGACACCCCGTGTGCCCCAGCCCAGCCGCGCTGACGCTGGCCCCCAGCTCGCCCCCGTCCGCCTGCAGGACCTGGGGGGAGAGAGCGGTCAGGGACACCCAAAAACACCCCAAATCCACCCCAAATCCACCCCAAACCCCAGACACCCCCTGTGCCCCAGCAGCGCCAGCCCGGCCGCGCTGACGCTGGCCCCCAGCTCGCCCCCGTCTGCCTGTAGCACCTTGGGGCAACAAGGGGTGACCCAAAATCCCCCAAACCACCCAAAATAACCCCCAGACTGCCCCAAGACACCCCCAAACCCCCCCAGGACACCCCCAAGGCCCTGACCTGGACGTGCACGTCGATCTGGGAGCGGGGGTAGAGCTGGGCCAGCACGGCGCCCTCCAGCAGCACAGGGCACCCCCAAACCCCCCCAGGACCCCCCAAACCCCCCCAGGACACCCCCAAACCCCCTGACCTGGACGTGCACGTCGATCTGGGAGCGGGGGTAGAGCTTGGCCAGCACGGCCCCGCAGCAGCAGCAGGGCACCCCCAAACCCCCCCAAACCCCCCAGGACCCCCAGGACACCCCCAAACCCCCCCAGGACACCCCCAAAGCCCCTGACCTGGACGTGCACGTCGATCTGGGAGCGGGGGTAGAGCTGGGCCAGCACGGCTCCCTCCAGCACGCCCCGCAGCAGCAGCGCCCGCTCCGCCGCCCGCCGGTCGCTCCCGCCCGGCCCCGGGCGGCGCCGCCGCTCTCCGCCCCCCGCGAACGGCGCCGAGCTGCACCGGCAGCTGAGCAGCGCCCGGTCCGGGGGGGCCTTGGCCCGGGACCCCCGAACCTGCGGGAGAAGGGATGGAGTGGGGGCACGGACATGGGGGGCTGGGAGTGGGGGGCATGGATATGCGGGGCTGTGGGGGGAAACTGGGGGGCTGGGAGTGGGGGCACGGACATGGGGGACACGGACATGGGGGGTTGGGAGTGGGGGGCACGGACATGGGGGGCTGGGAGTGGGGGCACGGACATGGGGGGCTGTGGGACCCCCGAACCTGCGGGAAATGGGATGGGAATGGGGGACACGGACATGGGGGGCTGGGAGTGGGGGCACGGACACGGGGGGCTGTGGGACCCCCAGAGCTGGGGGGGGAATAGCAGGGATTGGGGGGACACGGAGATGGGGAGGCTGTGGTGGGACCCCCAAACCTTCAGGGGAAAAAGGGGGTCTGGAAGTGGGGGGGGGGGGGCACCCATGGGTGGGGAGCCGTGGGACCCCCACAAGTGGGGGGGGAGAAATAGGGAAGGGGGGGCACAAATTGGGGAGGGGGGCTCAGAATGGGGGACCCTGAAAGCCCCAGGGGTGGGGGCAGAGACTGAGGGGGGGTCACAGGAACTGAGGGGGCTCACAAGCCCCGGGGGGGGGTTCACAAGCCCCGGGAGAGGTTCACAAGCCCCGGGAGAGGCCCACAAGGCCCGGGAGAGGCCCACAAGGCCCGGGAGAGGCCCACAAGGCCCGGGAGAGGCCCACAAGGCCCGGGAGAGGCCCACAAGGCCCGGGAGAGGCCCACAAGGCCCGGGAGAGGCCCACAAGCCCCGCGGCCCCGCTCACCTCGTGCGGGCCGTACACGGCCGCCAGCACTTTGGTGTTGCCCTGCTCCAGGTAGGCCGAACCGTCTGCCCGGGCCAGCACCCCGAGCCGGGCCCGCACCTTGCGCAGCTCGTCCGGCCGGCGCCCGTCCGCCCGGAACCCCGCGTCGGACAGCAGCTCCAGCCCCGCCATGCCGGCCCCGCGCCCGGTACCGCGTGAGGGGCGGGACTACAACTCCCGGCGTGCCCCGCGTCCGGCACCGCGCCCGGTACCGCGTGAGGGGCGGGACTACAACTCCCGGCGTGCCCCGCGTGCGGCGGCAGCTCCAGCCCCGCCATTCCGGTACCGCGTGAGGGGCGGGACTACAACTCCCGGCGGGCCCCGCGTCGGACAGCAGCTCCAGCCCCGCCATTCCGGTACCGCGTGAGGGGCGGGACTACAACTCCCGGCGTGCCCCGCGTCCGGCGGCAGCTCCAGCCCCGCCATTCCGGTACCGCGTGAGGGGCGGGACTACAACTCCCGGCGTGCCCCGCGTCCGGCGGCAGCTCCAGCCCCGCCATGCCGGTACCGCGTGAGGGGCGGGACTACAACTCCCGGCGTGCCCCGCGTGCGGCGGCAGCTCCAGCCCCGCCATTCCGGTACCGCGTGAGGGGCGGGACTACAACTCCCGGCGTGCCCCGCGTCCAGCGGCAGCTCCAGCCCCGCCATGCCGGTACCGCGTGAGGGGCGGGACTACAACTCCCGGCGTGCCCCGCGTCCAGCGGCAGCTCCAGCCCCGCCATGCCGGTACCGCGTGAGGGGCGGGACTACAGCTCCCGGCGTGCCCCGCGGCCGGCGGCAGCTCCAGCCCCGCCATTCCGGTACCGCGTGAGGGGCGGGACTACAGCTCCCGGCGTGCCCCGCGGCCGGCGGCAGCTCCAGCCCCGCCATGCCGGCACCGCGCCCGGTACCGCGTGAGGGGCGGGACTACAACTCCCGGCGTGCCCCGCGTGTGGCGGCAGCTCCAGCCCCGCCATTCCGGCACCGCGCCCGGTACCGCGTGAGGGGCGGGACTACAACCCCCGGCGTGCCCCGCGTCCGGCGGCAGCTCCAGCCCCGCCATGCCGGTACCGCGTGAGGGGCGGGACTACAACTCCCGGCGTGCCCCGCGTGCGGCGGCAGCTCCAGCCCCGCCATGCCGGTACCGCGTGAGGGGCGGGACTACAACTCCCGGCGTGCCCCGCGTCCGGCGGCAGCTCCAGCACCGCCATTCCGGCACCGCGTGAGGGGCGGGACTACAACTCCCGGCGTGCCCCGCGGCCGGCGGCAGCTCCAGCCCCGCCATGCCGGCACCGCGCCCGGTACCGCGTGAGGGGCGGGACTACAACTCCCGGCGTGCCCCGCGTCCGGCGGCAGCTCCAGCCCCGCCGCGCCCGGTACCGCGTGAGGGGCGGGACTACAACTCCCGGCGTGCCCCGCGTGCGGCGGCAGCTGCAGCCCCGCGCCCGGTACCGCGTGAGGGGGGGGACTACAACTCCCGGCGTGCCCCGCGTCGGACAGCAGCTCCAGCCCCGCCATTCCGGCACCGCGTGAGGGGCGGGACTACAACTCCCGGCGGGCCCCGCGTCCGGCGGCAGCTCCAGCCCCGCCGCGCCCGGTACCGCGTGAGGGGCGGGACTACAACTCCCGGCGTGCCCCGCGTCCGGCGGCAGCTCCAGCCCCGCCGCGCCCGGTACCGCGTGAGGGGCGGGACTACAACTCCCGGCGTGCCCCGCGTGCGGCGGCAGCTGCAGCCCCGCGCCCGGTACCGCGTGAGGGGCGGGACTACAACTCCCGGCGTGCCCCGCGTCGGACAGCAGCTCCAGCCCCGCCATTCCGGCACCGCGCGCGGTACCGCGTGAGGGGCGGGACTACAACTCCCGGCGTGCCCCGCGTGTGGCGGCAGCTCCAGCCCCGCCATGCCGGTACCGCGTGAGGGGCGGACTACAACTCCCGGCGTGCCCCGCGTCCGGCGGCAGCTCCGGCCCCGCCATGTCGGCACCGCGTGAGGGGCGGGACTACAACTCCCGGCGTGCCCCGCGTCCGGCGGCAGCTCCAGCCCCGCCATGCCGGTACCGCGTGAGGGTCGGGACTACAACTCCCGGCGTGCCCCGCGTCCGGCGGCAGCTCCAGCCCCGCCATTCCGGTACCGCGTGAGGGGCGGGACTACAACTCCCGGCGTGCCCCGCGTCCGGCGGCAGCTCCAGCCCCGCCATTCCGGCACCGCGTGAGGGGCGGGATTACAACTCCCGGCGTGCCCCGCGTCGGACAGCAGCTCCAGCCCCGCCATTCCGGCACCGCGCGCGGTACCGCGTGAGGGGCGGGACTACAACTCCCGGCGTGCCCCGCGTCGGACAGCAGCTCCAGCCCCGCCATTCCGGCACCGCGCGCGGTACCGCGTGAGGGGCGGGACTACAACTCCCGGCGTGCCCCGCGTGTGGCGGCAGCTCCAGCCCCGCCATGCCGGTACCGCGTGAGGGGCGGGACTACAACTCCCGGCGTGCCCCGCGTCGGACAGCAGCTCCAGCCCCGCCATTCCGGCACCGCGCGCGGTACCGCGTGAGGGGCGGGACTACAACTCCCGGCGTGCCCCGCGTCCGGCGGCAGCTCCAGCCCCGCCATGCCGGTACCGCGTGAGGGGCGGGACTACAACTCCCGGCGTGCCCCGCGTCCGGCGGCAGCTCCAGCCCCGCCATTCCGGTACGGCGTGAGGGATGGGACTACAACTCCCGGCGTGCCCCGCGTCCGGCGGCAGCTCCAGCCCCGCCATTCCGGCACCGCGCCCGGTACCGCGTGAGGGGCGGGACTACAACTCCCGGCGTGCCCCGCGTCCGGCGGCAGCTCCAGCCCCACCATTCCGGTACCGCATGAGGGGCGGGACTACAACTCCCGGCGTGCCCCGCGCGAGCCGCCCGCCAACGGGAGGCACCACCCCCGTGACGCTCCCACGGCGGAGGCCACGCCCATTGTGACGCAACCGCACACCAGGCCACGCCTCCATGGTTGCCTAACGAGGCCACGCCCCCATTTGGACCACGCCCCTTGGACAGAGACCACGCCCCAAAGGGGCGGGGTCCCGGTGCCGCCCCTTTGGCCCCGCCCCCCGAGGCCCCGCCCCCCTTTGGCCCCGCCCCCTCGGCCGGTTCGCGGCACCGAACGGGACCGAACGGGACCGAACGGGACCGAACGGGACCGGGACGGCCGCAGCGTCCCCTGGCGGAGCGGCAGCACCGGGACCCGCGGCACGGCCCGTTCCGACCCCGGCCCGTCCCGATCCCGGCCCGCTCTGACCCGGGCGGGCACCGGCACCGAGCCTCGGACCGGGGCAGAACCGGCACCGGACAGCACCGAGCGCTCACCGGACCGGAGCGGACCGACCCTTCCCCGGCCGGCCGCCGCTGACCCCTGTCCGGCCGCCCGACCTTGTCCAGGCCGGAGCGGAGCCCCGGGGCCGCCGCTCCCGGTCCGGTGCCGGTGCCGGTCCCGCCATGGCCGCGCCGCTCGCCCCCGGCGGGTTCGAGTTCGCCATCGACCGCGGCGGGACCTTCACGGACGTGTTCGCGCGGTGCCCCGGCGGCCGCGTCCGCGTCCTGAAGCTGCTCTCCGAGGACCCCGCGTACCGGGACGCGCCCACCGAGGGCATCCGCCGCGTCCTGCAGGAGGTGCGAGCCCCGGGACCGCGGGGGGACGGCGGGGGGACAGCGAGGGGACACGGCGGGACCCCACCGAGTGCCCTGCTGGGACCCCCGGGACCCCCCCGAGTGTCCTGCTGGGACCCCCGGGACCCCCGGGACCCCCCCAAGTGTCCTGCTGGGACCCCCGGGACCCCCGGGACCCCCGGGACACGGCGGGACCCCCCCCGAGTGCCCTGCTGGGACCCCCGGGACCCCCGGGACCCCCGGGACACGGTGGGGACACGGCGGGACCCCCGGGACACGGCGGGGGACCACGGGGCCCGCCCGAGGTCACCGGGACCCCTGGGACCCCCCGAGTGTCCTGCTGGGACCCCCGGGACCCCCGGGACACGGCGGGACCCCCGGGACACCCCCGAGTGCCCTGCTGGTACCCCCGGGACCCCCGTGACCCCCCGAATGTCCTGCTGGGACCCCCGGGACCCCTGGGACCCCCGGGACCCCCCGAATGTCCTGCTGGGACCCCCGGGACCCCCGGGACCCCCGGGACCCCCCGAATTTCCCTGCTGGGACCCCCGGGACCCCACCGGGAACATCCCAGGGCCCCCCAGGGGGACCCCCCGGAACAAGCCCTGGGACCCCCTTCTGGTACCCACCGGAACCCCCCAGACCCCCACAGGGTCCCCCGCAAATGCCCTCGGGACCCCCGGTACCCCCGGGACCCCCCTGAGAAACCCACCGGGACCACCGGGACCCCCCAAAGGAACCCACGGGGACCCCCCCCAAATGCCTCTCGCAGGGACCCCCGTGGGAAATCCCGGGACCCCCCCGAGGACCCCCAAGGGGATCCCCCCGGACCCCTCCCGACCCCCCTAAGCCCCCCAGCCCTGGGCCTGCCTGGACCCCGTGAACCACCCCGCGCTGGGGGTCCCCAAATGGGTCTGGGGGTCCCCAAATGGGTCTGGGGGTCTCCAAATGGGTCTGGGGGTCCTTGAATGGGTCTGGGGTCCCCAAATGGGTCTGGGGGTCCCCAAATGAGTCTGGGGTCCTCGAATGGGTCTGGGGGTCCCCAAATGAGTCTGGGGTCCCACTGTGGGTCTGGGGTCCCCAAATGGGTCTGGAGTCCTGCTGTGGGTCTGGGGTCCCCAAATGGGTCTGGGGTCCCCAAATGGGTCTGGAGTCCTGCTGTGGGTCTGGGGTCCCCAAATGGGTCTGGGGGTCCCCAAATGGGTCTGGGGGTCCCCGAATGGGTCTGGGGTCCTGCTGTGGGTCTGGGGTCCCCAAATGGGTCTGGGGGTCCCCAAATGGGTCTGGGGGTCCCCAAATGGGTCTGGGGGTCCTCGAATGGGTTTGGGGGTCCTCGAATGTGTCTGGGGGTCCCCAAATGGGTCTGGGGTCCCCAAATGGGTCTGGGGGTCCCCAAATGAGTCTGGGGTCCCACTGTGGGTCTGGGGTCCCCAAATGGGTCTGGAGTCCTGCTGTGGGTCTGGGGTCCCCAAATGGGTCTGGGGTCCCCAAATGGGTCTGGAGTCCTGCTGTGGGTCTGGGGTCCCCAAATGGGTCTGGGGGTCCCCAAATGGGTCTGGGGGTCCCCGAATGGGTCTGGGGTCCTGCTGTGGGTCTGGGGTCCCCAAATGGGTCTGGGGGTCCCCAAATGGGTCTGGGGGTCCCCAAATGGGTCTGGGGGTCCTCGAATGGGTTTGGGGGTCCTCGAATGTGTCTGGGGGTCCCCAAATGGGTCTGGGGTCCCCAAATGGGTCTGGGGTCCCGGGTGAATTTGGGGTCCCTGGGTGAATTTTGGGGTGCCCCACAGGAACTGGGGGTGCCGCTGCCCCGGGTGAATTATTTTGGGGTGCCCCACAGGAACTGGGGGTGCCGCTGTGGGTCCGGGGTCCCCGGGTGAATTTGGGGTCCCCAGGTGAATTTGGGGTGCCCCCCAGGAACTGGGGGTGCCACTGCCCCGGGTGAATTATTTTGGGGTGCCCCCACAGGAGCTGGGGGTGCCGCTGTGGGTCTGGGGTCCCCGGGTGAATTTGGGGTGCCCCACAGGAGCTGGGGGTGCCGCTGCCCCGGGTGAATTATTTTGGGGTGCCCCGCAGGAACTGGGGGTGCCGCTGTGGGTCCCTGGCTGAGTTTTGGGGTGCCCCGCAGGAGCTGGGGGTGCCGCTGGGGGTGCCGCTGCCCCGGGTGAATTTTGGGGTGCCCATGTGAATTTTGGGGTGCCCCACAGGAGCTGGGGGTGCCGCTGCCCCGGGTGAATTATTTTGGGGTCCCCCCACAGGAAATGGGGGTGCCGCTGCCCCGGGTGAATTTTGGGGTGCCCATGTGAATTTTGGGGTGCCCCGCAGGAACTGGGGGTGCCGCTGCCCCGAGTGAATTATTTTGGGGTCCCACAGGAACTGGGGGTGCCGCTGCCCCGGGACCAGCCCCTGGACGCCTCCGGGATCCGCTGGATCCGCATGGGCACCACGGTGGCCACCAACGCGCTGCTGCAGCGCCGCGGGGAGCGCGCGGCCCTGGCGGTGACCCGCGGCTTCCGCCACCTGCTGCACATCGGCACCCAGGCACGGCCGCAGCTCTTCGACCTGGTGAGCACACCTGGGCACAGCTGGGCACAGCTGGCACACACCTGGGCACACACCTGTACCCCTAACCCATCCCTAACCCACCCAAACCCCACCCCAAACCCAACACCCCACACCGACACTGCTGCACATCGGCACCCAGGCACGGCCGCGCCTCTTCGACCTGGTGAGCACCTGGGCACACACCTGGGCACAGCTGGGCACACACCTGTACCCCTAACCCATCCCCAAACCCATCCCAAACCCAACAACCCAAACCCAACATCCCACACCCACCCCACACCGACACTGCTGCACATCGGCACGCAGGCGCGCCCGCAGCTCTTCGACCTGGTGAGCACCTGGGCACACACCTGGGCACACCTGGGCACACCTGGGCACACACCTGGGCACACACCTGGGCACAGCTGGGCACCTAACCCATCCCCAACCCCAACATCCCACACCGACACTGCTGCACATCGGCACCCAGGCGCGCCCGCACCTCTTCGACCTGGTGAGCGCACCTGGGAACAGCTGGGCACAGCTGGCACACACCTGGGCACACATCTGGGCACACCTGGGCACAGCTGGCACTCACCTGGCACACACCTGGCACTCACCTGGCACACACCTGGCACACCTGTACACACACCTGTGCCCTCACCTGTGCCCTCACCTGTCCCCGTGCCACATCCCCGTGTCCCCTGGAGGGGGGGTGACAGTCCCCGAGTGACCGATGTCCCCTGGGCTCGGGGTGCCACCTCCCCCCGTGTCCTGTGTCCCCTCCGGTGTCCCCTTCGTGTCCCCTTCGTGTCCCCACACGATGGCCACGTGATGCCCCATGCGGTGACCCCTCGGTGACCCCTCGGTGACCCCTCGGTGACCCCGCGGTGACCCGTGGCCGCCTGGCACGGGGCTGGCACATCCCGTGACTGGCACGTCCCATGACTGGCACCGTGTCCCCGTGTGCCCCGCAGTGTCCCCGTGTGTGCCACAGTGTCCCCTCCTGGGCTGGCACCGTGTCCCCTGTGCCCCACAGTGTCCCCGTGTGCCCCACAGTGTCCCCTGTGTCCCACACTGTCCCCTGTGTCCCACACTGTCCCCTCCTGGGCTGGCACCGTGTCCCCTGTGCCCCACACTGTCCCCAGCACCCTGTCCCCATGTCCCCTCCTGGGCTGGCACCGTGTCCCCGTGTGCCCCACAGTGTCCCCGTGTGCCCCACAGTGTCCCCTCCTGGGCTGGCACCGTGTCCCCGTGTGCCCCACAGTGTCCCCGTGTGCCCCACAGTGTCCCCAGCACCCTGTCCCTGTGTCCCCTCTCAGGGTGGCACTGTGTCCCCTGTGCCCCACGCTGTCCCCAGCACCCTGTCCCTGTGTCCCTGCTCAGGGTGGCACCGTGTCCCCTGTGCCCCACACTGTCCTGCTGTGGGGCTCAGTGTCCCCTCGTGTTCCCCCCTCGTGTCCCCTGTCCCTGTCCCCCACCCTCTGTTGGGGCCCGGCTGGGTGTCCTTGGTGTGTCCCCTGTCCCTGTCCCTGTCCCCTGTCCCTGTCCCTGTCCCTGTCCCATGTCAGGTGTCCTTGGCGTGTCCCCTGTCCCTGTCCCTGTCCCCTGTCCCTGTCCCCTGTCCCTGTCCCCTGTCCCTGTCCCCGTCCCTGTCCCATTCCTGTCCCAGTGCCACCCCGGCTGTGTCCCAGTGCCACCCGGGGGTGTCCCCGCGTGTCCCCGCAGGAGGTGGCCATGCCCGAGGTGCTCTACGAGGAGGTGATCGAGGTGGACGAGCGGCTGATCCCGGAGCAGCCGGATTGTCACCTGCCGGGCAGTGACACATGGCCGCGCGTGCAAGGTGGGACACGGGGGTGGCACTGCCATTGTCACCTGCCGGGGAGTGACACATGGCCCCGGGTGCAAGGTGGGACACGGGGGTGGCACTGGGACACTGGGGTGGCCCTGGGGTGGCACTGGGGTGGCACCTGGCAGGTGACCCCGCTGTCACCAAGCCCTGCTGCTCTGTGAGGTGGCACTGGGGGGTTTTGGGGTCTCGGGGGGGGGGAGGTGACACTGCTGTCCCCCAGGGGTGGCCGGGGTGACCCTGCTGGTGCAGTTTGGGTGTCTTTGGGGGGGAGGTGACACCGCTGTCCCCCCAGGGGTGGCCGGGGTGACCCTGCTGGTGCAGTTTGGGGGTTTTGGGGGTCTCAGGGGGGGAGGTGACACTGCTGTCCCCCATGTCCCCCCAGGGGTGGCCGGGGTGACCCTGCTGGTGCAGTTTGGGGGTCTCAGGGGGGGAGGTGACACCGCTGTCCCCCAGGGGTGGCCGGGGTGACCCTGCTGGTGCAGTTTGGGGATTTTGGGGATCTCAGGGGGGGAGGTGACACTGCTGTCCCCCAGGGGTGGCCGGGGTGACCCTGCTGGTGCAGCGGCCGCTGGACGTGGCGCGGCTGCGCGAGGACCTGGAGCGGGTCCTGGCCCGCGGCATCCGGAGCCTGGCGGTGCTGCTGCTGCACAGCTACGCGTGAGGGGCTGGGGGGGTTTGGGGGGATTTGGGGGGTCCTGGGGGGGGGTTGGGGGGGATTTGGGGGGTCCTGGGTGGGGTTTGAGGGGTCCTGAGTGGGGTTTGGGGGGTCCTGGAGGGGTTTGGAGGGTCCCAGGGGGAGGGTTGGGGGGGATTTGGGGGGTCCTGGAGGGGTTTGGGGGGTCCTGGGGGGGTTTGGGGGGTCCTGGAGGAGTTTGGACGGTCCCGGGGGGGGGGTTGGGGGGGATTTGGGGGGTCCTAGAGGGGTTTGGGGGGTCCTGGGGGTGGTTTGGGGGGTCCTGGGGGGATTTGGGGGGTCCTGGGGGGGATTTGGGGGGTCCTGGGGGGATTTGGGGGGTCCCGGGGGGGGTTTGGGGGGTCCTGGGGGTGGTTTGGGGGGTCCTGGGGGGATTTGGGGGGGATTTGGGGGGTCCTGGGGGGGTTTGGGGGGACCTGGGGGGATTTGGGGGGTCCTGGGGGGGATTTGGGGGGATTTGGGGGGTCCTGGGGGGGATTTGGGGGGTCCTGAGTGGGGTTTGGGGGGTCCTGGGGTGGGATTTGGGGGGTCCTGGGGGGATTTGGGGGGTCCTGCGGGTGGTTTGGGGGGTCCCGGGTGGGTTTGGGGGGTCCCGGGGGTCCCCAGAGCCCCGCGGTGCTGCTGCTGCACCACTACACGTAAGGGGGTTTGGGGAAATTGGGCAAAAGGGGAAATTCTGTCCCAAATCCGGCCCCGCGTTCAGCCCCGCCCCTCCTCGCGGCGTTAATTGCCGCTAATTCGGCGTTAATTAAAGGCGTTAATTGGCGCGGAAAGCCGTGGCCCGAAATGGGAGAGGAAATTCCGGGAAAGGGCAACGAGGGCAGCGAGGGAAAGGGGAAAGTGCCCGAATTTGGGTCTGGGGGCGAAAAAAGAGAGAAAAGTGCCCGACTTTGGGGCTGGGGGTGAGAAAAAGAGAGAAAAGTGCCCGGATTTGGGTCTGGGGGTGAAAAAAGAGAGAAAAGTGCCCGAATTTGGGTCTGGGGGCGAAAAAAGAGAGAAAAGTGCCCGAATTTGGGTCTGGGGGTGAAAAAAGAGAGAAAAGTGCCCGAATTTGGGTCTGGGGGTGAAAAAAGAGAGAAAAGTGCCCGAATTTGGGTCTGGGGCTCAAAAAAAGGTGACACACAGGTGACACAGGTGAAATAGGTGTGACCCAGGTGGCACAGGTGTGACACAGGTGTGACACAGGTGGCACACAGGTGACACACCTGTCCCCACAGGTGGCCCGGGCACGAGCAGCAGGTGGGGTGTGTGGGTACAGGTGGCACACAGGTGACACAGGTGACACTCAGGTGACACACAGGTGTGACCCAGGTGTGACACAGGTGACACAGGTGTGACACAGGTGACACACAGGTGGCACACAGGTGACACACACCTGTCCCGCAGGTGGCCCAGGCACGAGGAGCAGGTGGGGTGTGTGGGTACAGGTGTGACACAGGTGACACAGGTGTGACACAGGTGTGACCCAGGTGTGACACAGGTGACACACAGGTGTCCCCGCAGGTGGCCCGGGCACGAGCAGCAGGTGGGGTGTGTGGGTACAGGTGTGACACAGGTGACACACAGGTGACCCAGGTGTGACACAGGTGTCCCCGCAGGTGGCCCGGGCACGAGCAGCAGGTGGGCGCCCTGGCACAGTCCCTGGGCTTCGCGCAGGTGTCGCTGTCCTCGGCGGTGGCGGGCATGGCGCGGGCGGTGCCGCGCGGCCTCACCGCCTGTGCCGACGCCTACCTGAGCCCCGGCGTGCGGCGCTACCTGCGCGGCTTCTGCCAGGGCTTCCGGCACGGCCTGCGGGTGAGCGGGGACCGGACGGGACTGGGACGGGACTGACACGGGATAGAGCAGGAACAGAGCAGGACTGACCCGGGATAGGGGGGGACTGACCCGGGACTGACACGGGACTGACACGGGATAGAGCGGGACTGACACGGGATAGGGGGGGACTGACACGGGATAGAGCGGGAACAGAGCGGGACTGACCCGGGATGGGGCGGGACTGACCCGGGACTGACACGGGATAGAGTGGGAACAGGGCGGGACTGACCCGGGATATGGGGGGACAGAGCTGGGACAGGGCGGGACTGACCCGGGATGGGGTGGGACTGACCCGGGACTGACACGGGACTGACCCGGGACTGACCCGGGACTGACCCGGGATGGGGCAGGACTGACCCGGGATAGCGCTGGGACAGGGCAGGACTGACCTGGGACTGACCCGGGACAGGGCGGGACCGGCCCGGGATAGAGCTGGGACAGAGCAGGATTGGCCCGGGACTGGGTGGGACTCACCCGGGAGAGCGCTGGGACAGGACGGGACTGACCCGGGACCGGCCTGGGACTGACCCGGGACTGACCCGGGATAGGGGGGGACAGGGTGGGACTGGCCCGGCACTGACCCAGGACAGGGCGGGACTGATCTGGGACTGGCCCGGGATAGGGCAGGGACAGAGCAGGACTGACCCGAGATAGAACTGGGACAGACACGGGACATGAGCTCCAAGGGGGGCTCTGACCCCTGACCCCCTGACCCCCCTTGACCCCCCAAACCCCATTTTTAGGGGGTGCAGGTGCTGTTCATGCGCTCGGACGGGGGCTCTGACCCCCCTGACCCCCCGTACCCCATTTTTAGGGGGTGCAGGTGCTGTTCATGCGCTCGGACGGGGGGTCTGACCCCCCTGACCCCCCTGACCCCGTTTTTAGGGGGTGCAGGTGCTGTTCATGCGCTCGGACGGGGGGCTCTGACCCCCCTGACCCCCTGAACCCCATTTTTAGGGGGTGCAGGTGCTGTTCATGCGCTCGGACGGGGGGCTCACGCCCATGGACACCTTCGGGGGGGCTCGGGCCATCCTGTCGGGCCCGGCCGCGGGGGTCGTGGGCTACGCCCGGACCACCTTCGACCCCCAGGACGGGACCCCCGTGATCGGCTTCGACATGGGAGGTGAGGGCGGGGCCCGGGGGTCCCGGGGGGTCTGGGGGTCTGGGGTCACAGGGAGGGGGTCCCGGGGGTCTGGGGTCACGGGGAGGGGGTCCCGAGGGACTGGGGTCATGGGGAGGGGGTCCTGGGGAGGGGGTCCCGGGGGGGTCCAGCTGGGATTGGGGTCCCAGAAAGGGGGTCCCGTGGGATTGGGGTCCCAGAAAGGGGGTCCGGCTGGGGTTGGGGTCCTGGGAAGGGGATCCTGTTGGGATTGGGGTCATGGGGAGGGGGTCCCGCTGGGATTGGGGTCCCAAAGGGGTCTGGCTGGGTTTGGGGTCCCCCAGGCACCTCGACCAGGAGCTGCTGTGAGGGTTTTTGGGGTCCCACTGGGATTGGGGTCCGGCAGCTCTGGGGTGCGGCAGTTTTGGGGTGCAGCAGCTCTGGGGTCCCACTGGGTCTGGGGTCCCGCCGGGTTTGGGGTGCGGCAGTTTTGGGGTCCCGCTGGGTCTGGGGTCCCGCAGTTTTGGGGTGCAGCAGTTTTGGGGTCCGGCAGTTTTGGGGTCCCGCTGGGTCTGGGGTCCGGCAGTTTTGGGGTGCAGCAGTTTTGGGGTGCAGTTTCGGGGTGCAGCAGTTTCGGGGTCCCGCAGTTTCGGGGTCCCGCAGTTCTGGGGTCCCGCAGTTTTGGGGTGCAGCAGTTTCGGGGTGCGGCAGTTTCGGGGTGCGGCAGTTTCGGGGTCCCGCAGTTTCGGGATCCCGCAGTTTCGGGGTGCAGCAGTTTTGGGGTCCCGCAGTTTCGGGGTCCCGCAGTTTCGGGGTGCAGCAGTTTTGGGGTGCGGCAGTTTTGGGGTGCGGCAGTTTCGGGTCCCGCAGTTTCGGGGTGCAGTTTTGGGGTCCCGCAGTTTTGGGGTGCAGCAGCTCCGGGGTCCCGCGGTTTCGGGGTGCAGTTTTGGGGTCCCGCAGTTTTGGGGTGCAGTTTTGGGGTCCGCAGGCACCTCGACCGACGTGAGCCGCTACGCGGGCGAGTTCGAGCACGTGTTCGAGGCCACCACGGCGGGGGTCGCCATCCAGAGCCCGCAGCTGCACATCAGCACCGTGGCCGCGGGGGGGGGGTCCCGCCTCTTCTTCAGGTGGGGGGGATGGGGGGGGGGGTCCGGGGCTGGGGAGGGGGTCCAGGGGCTGTGGAGGGATCCAGGGGCTGAGGAGGGGGCTCCGGAGGGGCTGGGCAGGGGGCTCCAAGTGTTGGGAGGCTGGGGAGGGGGTCCACAGGATGGGGAGGGGGTCCAGGGGCTGGGCGGGGCTGGGGAGGGGGCTCCAGGTGTGTCCCAGGTGAGGGGGCTCCAATGGGGGGAATGTGGGGAGGGGGCTCCAGGTGTGCCCCAGGTGAATGAGGTGCGCCCCCGTGGGTGTCACTGTCCCTTCCGTGTCCCCGCGGGTGTCAACTGTCTGTCTCTTGTGCCCCCCGTGTCCCCGCGGGTGTCACCGTGTCCCCCTGAGTGTCCCCGTGTCCCCCTGGGTGTCCCCATGTCCCCCTGAGTGTCCCCGTGTCCCCCTGAGTGTCCCCGTGTCCCCCTGAGTGTCCCCGTGTCCCCGCAGGTCCGGTCTCTACGTGGTCGGTCCCGAGTCCGCGGGCGCCCACCCGGGACCCGCCTGTTACCGCAAGGGTGAGTGAGGGACACCCGTGTCCCCGTGTCCCCCTGACCCCCTCGTGTCTCCCTGACTCTCCTGTGTCCCCGTGTCCCCCTGACCCCCGTGTCCCCCTAACCCCCCGTGTCCCCCTGACCCCCTCATGTCCCCCTGACCCCGCCATGCCACCCCTGACCCCTCTGTGTCCCCTCTGAGCCCCCCGTGTCCTTCTATCCCCCGTGTCCCCCCGGTGTCCCCAGGCGGTCCCTGACCCCCCTGACCCCCGTGTCCCCCCGGTGTCCCCCTGACCCCCGTGTCCCCCTGGTGTCCCCAGGCGGTCCCTGACCCCTGTGACCCCCCGGTGTCCCCAGGCGGTCCCCCCAGTGTCCCCCTGACCCCCCTGACCCCCGTGACCCCCCGGTGTCCCCAGGCAATCCCTGACCCCCATATCCCCCCGGTGTCCCCCCGGTGTCCCCCTGACCCCCGTGTCCCCATGTCCCCACGGTGTCCCCAGGCGGTCCCTGACCCCCCTGACCCCCGTGTCCCCCCGGTGTCCCCCTGACCCCCGTGTCCCCCCGGTGTCCCCAGCCGGTCCCTGACCCCTGTGACCCCCCGGTGTCCCCAGGCGGTCCCTGACCCCTGTGACCCCCCGGTGTCCCCAGGCGGTCCCTGACCCCCCTGACCCCCCGGTGTCCCCCTGACCCCCGTGTCCCCCCGGTGTCCCCAGCCGGTCCCTGACCCCCGTGTCCCCGCGGTGTCCCCAGGCGGTCCCTGACCCCCCTGACCCCCGGTGTCCCCCCGGTGTCCCCAGCCGGTCCCTGACCCCCGTGTCCCCCCGGTGTCCCCCTGACCCCTGTGACCCCCCGGTGTCCCCAGGCGGTCCCTGACCCCTGTGACCCCCCGGTGTCCCCAGCCGGTCCCTGACCCCGGTGTCCCCCCTGACCCCCGTGTCCCCCCGGTGTCCCCAGGCGGTCCCTGACCCCCCTGACCCTTGTGACCCCCGGTGTCCCCAGCCGGTCCCTGACCCCCGTGTCCCCACGGTGTCCCCAGGCGGTCCCTGACCCCCGTGTCCCCCTGACCCCCGTGTCCCCCCGGTGTCCCCAGCCAGTCCCTGACCCCTGTGTCCCCCCGGTGTCCCCAGGCGGTCCCTGACCCCCCTGACCCCCGTGTCCCCCGGTGTCCCCAGGCGGTCCCCTGACTGTCACCGACGCCAACCTGGTGCTGGGCCGGCTGCTCCCCGAGTTCTTCCCGCGGATCTTCGGTCCCGGCGAGGATCAGCCGCTGTGCCGGGACACGGCGGCGGCGGCGTTCCGGGAGCTGGCGGCCACCATCCGCGCCTTCCAGAGGGGCTCCGGGGACACCGGGGGCACTGCGGACACCGGGGACACTGCGGACACCGGGGACACCGGGGACACTGCGGACACCGGGGACACTGCGGACACCGGGGACACCGAGGCGCTCTCGGTGGAGGAGGTGGCCCTGGGCTTCATCCGGGTGGCCAACGAGGCCATGTGCCGACCCATCCGCGCCCTGACGGAGGTGGGGGTCCCTCGGGGGTCCCGGGGGTGACACCGGTGTCACCTCCCGCTGGGTGGGTGTCCCTCGGGGGTCGCGGTGACAGCGGTGTCCCCTCCCGCTGGGTGGGGGTCCCGGGGGTCCCGGGGGTCGCAGTGTCACGTCCCGCTGCGTGGGTGTCCCTCAGGGGTCGCGGTGTCCCCTCCCGCTGGGTGGGTGTCCCTCGGGGGTCCCGGGGGTCGCGGTGTCACCTCCCGGTGGGTGGGTGTCCCTCGGGGGTCGCGGTGTCCCCTCCCGCTGGGTGGCTGTCCCGGGGGTCCCGGGGGTCGCGGTGTCCCCTCCCGCTGGGTGGGTGTCCCTCGGGGGTCCCGGGGGTCGCGGTGTCCCCTCCCTCTGGGTGGGGGTCCCGGGGGTCGCGGTGTCACCGGCTGTCCCCGTGGCAGGCGCGGGGACACGAGGCGGCGCGACACGTGCTGGCGTGTTTCGGGGGCGCCGGGGGGCAGCACGCCTGTGCCATCGCCCGCACGCTGGGCATGGCCCGGGTCTTCATCCACAGGTGGGTGCGGGGGGGACCCCCGGGGTGGGCGGGGGGCGTGGGGACCCCCGGGATGGGCAGCGGGCATGGGGACCCCCGGGATATGGGGCGGGGGGCGTGGGGACCCCCGGGATGGGGGGCAGCTGGGCGGGGGCACGGGGACCCCCGGGATATGGGGTGGGGGGCGTGGGGACCCTCCTGGGCGGGCAGGGGGCACGGGGACCCCCGGGATGGGCAGCGGGCATGGGGACCCCCGGGATGGGGGTGGATCTGGGTGGGGGGGTGTGAGGACCCCCGGGTTGGGGCAGGGGGGCTCAAGGACCCTCCTGGTCGGGTGGGGGGCGTGGGGACCTCCGGGATGGGGGGGTGGGGTCGCAGAGACCCCCCGTGGGCTGGGGGCGGGGCTGAGGGGACCCCCATATTGGGGTGAGGGCTGTGGGGATCCCCTTTTGGGGTGGGGGCAGTGGGGACCCGATTTGGGGCGGACCTGGAGGGTCCACAGGGATTCCCCTCTTGGGGGGGGTCCTGGAGACCCCGACCCTCCCCCTGCGGGGCTGGGGAGGGGCCCGAGGGATTTGGGGTGCAGTTGGCTTTGGGAGGGGGTCCCCGGGGCTGGGACACGGACGGCCCGGGGGACTCCCGGGGCGGTGGCAGGAGTGACCCGGGGCTGTCCCGGGGCGGTGACAGGAGTGACCCGGGGCTGTCCTGGGGCTGTCCCGGGGCTGTCCCCGGGCGGTGACAGGCCTGTCCCGGGCTGTCCCAGGATGTCCCCGCAGGCACAGCGGGCTGCTGTCGGCGCTCGGGCTGTCCCGGGGCTGTCCCGGGGCTGTCCCCGGGCGGTGACAGGCCTGTCCCGGGGCTGTCCCCGGGCGGTGACAGGCCTGTCCCGGGGCTGTCCCGGGCTGTCCCCGCAGGCACAGCGGGCTGCTGTCGGCGCTCGGGCTGTCCCGGCGCTGTCCGGGGCTGTCCCCGCGGTGTCCCCGGGCTGTCCCCACGGTGACAGGAGTGTCCCCCCAGGCACAGCGGGCTGCTGTCGGCGCTCGGGCTGTCCCGGGGCTGTCCCGGGGCTGTCCCCGCGGTGTCCCCGGGCTGTCCCCGCGGTGACAGCGCTGTCCCCGCAGGCACAGCGGGCTGCTGTCGGCGCTCGGGCTGTCCCGGGGCTGTCCCCGGGCGGTGACAGGAGTGTCCCGGGGCTGTCCCGGGCTGTCCCCGCAGGCACAGCGGGCTGCTGTCGGCGCTCGGGCTGGCTCTGGCGGACGCGGTGCAGGAGGAGCAGGAGCCGTGCGCGCTCCCGTACGGCCCCGGCGCGTTCCCGCGGCTCGAGGAGCGGCTCCGGGAGCTGGAGCGGCGCTGCCGGGACGGGCTGAGGGCACAGGGATTCGAACCGTGAGAGAGCGGGGACAGGGGTGGGGATGGGGGACAGGGGACAGGGGACAGGGATGGGGACAGGGGATGGGGACAGGGACAGCGGGAGGGGACAGGGGACAGGTGACACTGGAGATGGCAGGATGGGGACAGTGGGGACAGCAGGGAGAGCAGGGATGGCAGGATGGGGACGGGGTGACCCAGTGGTTGTGACATTGGGGACAGGGTGACACAGGGTGACACAGAGTGACACCGTGACACGGTGACACAGTGGCAGTGACACAGGGTGACACAGTGGCAGTGACACGGTGACACAGGGACAGGGTGACAGTGACACCGTGACAGGGTGACACAGGGTGACGCGGTGGTGGCACCTTGGTGACAGGGTGACACAGGGTGGTTGACACAGGGTGACACAGTGGCAGTGACGCAGGGTGACACAGGGTGACACAGTGACACACTGACACAGGGTGACACAGGGTGACACACAGGGACACATGGTGACACAGGGTGGGTGACACACGATGACACAGTGACACAGTGGCAGGGTGACACAGTGACACACAGTGACACACGGTGACACATGGTGACACAGGGTGGGTGACACAGGGTGGGTGACACAGGGTGGGTGACACACGGTGACACAGGGTGGGTGACCCAGGGTGACACATGGTGACACCCGGTGACACAGACTGACCCGCGCCGTGCCGCAGGGAGCAGATCCGCACGGAGCCGTTCCTGCACCTGCGCTACGAAGGCACCGACTGTGCCCTGATGGTCTCTGCCCGCGGGCACCCGGCGCACCCCGGCTCCTGCGCCGCCGGCGACTTCCTGGCGGCCTTCACCGCCCGGTCAGTGCCACAGTGTCACCAACTCTGTCCCAGTGTCACTGCCCTGTCCCAGTGTCACTGCCCTGTCCCAGTGTCACCAGCCCTGTCCCAGAGCCACCAGCTCCATCCCAGTGCCACCAGCCCCGTCCCAGTGTCACCAGTCCTGTCCCAGTGTCACCAGCCCTGTCCCAGTGTCACCAGCCCCGTCCCAGTGTCACCAGTCCTGTCCCAGTGTCACCAGCCCCGTCCCAGTGTTGTCCCAATCTCACCCCCTCACCCCAATCCCATCCATCACCCCAATCCCATCCCCGCACCCCAATCCCATCCCTCACCCCAATCCCATCCCTCACCCCAATCCCATCCCCTCACCCCAATCCCATCTGTGCACCCCAATCCCATCCCTCACCCCAATCCCATCTGTGCACCCCAATCCCATCTGTGCACCCCAATCCCATCCCCGCACCCCAATCCCATCTGTGCACCCCAATCCCATCCCCTCACCCCAATCCCATCCCTCACCCCAATCCCATCCCTCACCCCAATCCCATCCCCACACCCCAATCCCATCTGTGCACCCCAATCCCATCCCTCACCCCAATCCCATCCCTCACCCCAATCCCATCTGTGCACCCCAATCCCATCTGTGCACCCCAATCCCATCCCTCACCCCAATCCCATCCCTCACCCCAATCCCATCTGTGCACCCCAATCCCATCCGTGCACCCCAATCCCATCTGTGCACCCCAATCCCATCCCCGCACCCCAATCCCATTTCCTCACCCCAATCCCATCCCTCACCCCAATCCCATCTGTGCACCCCAATCCCATCTGTGCACCCCAATCCCATCCCCGCACCCCAATCCCATCCCTCACCCCAATCCCATCCCCTCACCCCAATCCCATCTGTGCACCCCAATCCCATCTGTGCACCCCAATCCCATCCCTCACCCCAATCCCATCCCTCACCCCAATCCCATCCCCTCACCCCAATCCCATCTGTGCACCCCAATCCCATCTGTGCACCCCAATCCCATCCCTCACCCCAATCCCATCTGTGCACCCCAATCCCATCCCTCACCCCAATCCCATCCCTCACCCCAATCCCATCTGTGCACCCCAATCCCATCCCTCACCCCAATCCCATTCCCTCACCCCAATCCCATCCCTCAGCCCAATCCCATCTGTGCACCCCAATCCCATCCCCTCACCCCAATTTCATCCCTCACCCCAATCCCATCCCCTCACCCCAATCCCATCTGTGCACCCCAATCCCATCTGTGCACCCCAATCCCATCCCTCACCCCAATCCCATCTGTGCACCCCAATCCCATCTGTGCACCCCAATCCCATCTGTGCACCCCAATCCCATCTGTGCACCCCAATCCCATCCCTCACCCCAATCCCATCCCCGCACCCCAATCCCATCTGTGCACCCCAATCCCATCTGTGCACCCCAATCCCATCCCTCACCCCAATCCCATCCCTCACCCCAATCCCATCCCCGCACCCCAATCCCATCTGTGCACCCCAATCCCATCTGTGCACCCCAATCCCATCCCTCACCCCAATCCCATCTGTGCACCCCAATCCCATCTGTGCACCCCAATCCCATCCCTCACCCCAATCCCATCTGTGCACCCCAATCCCATCCCTCACCCCAATCCCATTCCTCACCCCAATCCCATCTGTGCACCCCAATCCCATCTCTGCACCCCAATCCCATCTGTGCACCCCAATCCCATCCCTCACCCCAATCCCATCTGTGCACCCCAATCCCATCTGTGCACCCCAATCCCATCCCTCACCCCAATCCCATCCCCTCTCCCCAATCCCATCCCCTCACCCCAATCCCATCCGTGCACCCCAATCCCATCTGTGCACCCCAATCCCATCTGTGCACCCCAATCCCATCCCTCACCCCAATCCCATCTGTGCACCCCAATCCCATCTCCTCACCCCAATCCCATCCCTCACCCCAATCCCATCCGTGCACCCCAATCCCATCTGTGCACCCCAATCCCATCTGTGCACCCCAATCCCATCCCTCACCCCAATCCCATCCCTCACCCCAATCCCATCCGTGCACCCCAATCCCATCTGTGCACCCCAATCCCATCTGTGCACCCCAATCCCATCCCTCACCCCAATCCCATCCGTGCACCCCAATCCCATCTGTGCACCCCAATCCCATCTGTGCACCCCAATCCCATCCCTCACCCCAATCCCATCTGTGCACCCCAATCCCATCTGTGCACCCCAATCCCATCTGTGCACCCCAATCCCATCTGTGCACCCCAATCCCATCCCTGCACCCCAATCCCATCCCCTCACCCCAATCCCATCTGTGCACCCCAATCCCATCCCACACCCCAATCCCATCTGTGCACCCCAATCCCATCCCCGCACCCCAATCCCATCCCCTCACCCCAATCCCATCTGTGCACCCCAATCCCATCCCCACACCCCAATCCCATCTGTGCACCCCAATCCCATCCCCGCACCCCAATCCCATCCCCTCACCCCAATCCCATCTGTGCACCCCAATCCCATCTGTGCACTCCAATCCCATCTGTGCACCCCAATCCCATCTGTGCACCCCAATCCCATCCCCGCACCCCAATCCCATCCCCGCACCCTAATCCCATCCCCTCACCCCAATCCCATCCCCGCACCCCAATCCCATCTGTGCACCCCAATCCCATCTGTGCACCCCAATCCCATCCCTCACCCCAATCCCATCCCTCACCCCAATCCCATCTGTGCACCCCAATCCCATTTGTGCACCCCAATCCCATCCCCTCACCCCAATCCCATCCCCTCACCCCAATCCCATCTGTGCACCCCAATCCCATCTGTGCACCCCAATCCCATCCCTCACCCCAATCCCATCTGTGCACCCCAATCCCATCCCTCACCCCAATCCCATCCCTCACCCCAATCCCATCTGTGGACCCCAATCCCATCCCTCACCCCAATCCCATCTGTGCACCCCAATCCCATCTGTGCACCCCAATCCCATCCCTCACCCCAATCCCATCTGTGCACCCCAATCCCATCTGTGCACCCCAATCCCATCCCCTCACCCCAATCCCATCCCCTCACCCCAATCCCATCTGTGCACCCCAATCCCATCTGTGCACCCCAATCCCATCTGTGCACCCCAATCCCATCTGTGCACCCCAATCCCATCCCCTCACCCCAATCCCATCTGTGCACCCCAATCCCATCCCTCACCCCAATCCCATCCCTCACCCCAATCCCATCTGTGCACCCCAATCCCATCTGTGCACCCCAATCCCATCTGTGCACCCCAATCCCATCCCACACCCCAATCCCATCCCTCACCCCAATCCCATCCCTCACCCCAATCCCATCTGTGCACCCCAATCCCATCCCTGCACCCCAATCCCATCCGTGCACCCCAATCCCATCTGTGCACCCCAATCCCATCTGTGCACCCCAATCCCATCTGTGCACCCCAATCCCATCCCCTCACCCCAATCCCATCCCCTCACCCCAATCCCATCTGTGCACCCCAATCCCATCTGTGCACCCCAATCCCATCTGTGCACCCCAATCCCATCCCCTCACCCCAATCCCATCCCCTCACCCCAATCCCATCCCCTCACCCCAATCCCATCTGTGCACCCCAATCCCATCTGTGCACCCCAATCCCATCCCTCACCCCAATCCCATCCCTCACCCCAATCCCATCTGTGCACCCCAATCCCATCTGTGCACCCCAATCCCATCCCCTCACCCCAATCCCATCCCTCACCCCAATCCCATCTGTGCACCCCAATCCCATCCCTCACCCCAATCCCATCTGTGCACCCCAATCCCATCCCCTCACCCCAATCCCATCCCTCACCCCAATCCCATCTGTGCACCCCAATCCCATCTGTGCACCCCAATCCCATCCCTCACCCCAATCCCATCCCCTCACCCCAATCCCATCTGTGCACCCCAATCCCCTCTCTCTGTGTGTCCCTGTCCCCCCACCCCATGCCCCATCTCCCCCGGGTCGGTGTCCCTGTCCCCTCCCCGCTGTGGGTTCCTGTCCCCTCCCTCCCTGTTCCCTGTTCCGGTTCTGTGTCCCCTCCCGGGGTCCCCGTGCCCCCCGTGTGTCCCTGTAACCCCAGGGCTGCTGTCCCTGTCCCCCTGTGTCCCTCTGTCACCCTGGGGTCAGTGTCCCCTGTCCCCCCAGCTCGGTGTCCCTGTCCCCTGTCCCTGTCGCGGCCGGTGTCACTGACACCCCCGTGTGTCCCTGTCCCCATCCCCGCCAGTGTCACTGACCCCCGTGTCCCCCGTCCCCGTCCTGGCCGGTGTCACTGACACCCCTGTGTCCCCTGTCCTTGTCCCTGTCCCCACCGGTGTCACTGACACCCCTGTGTCCCCCTGTCCCTGTCCCTGTCCCCGCTGGTGTCACTGACACCCCCGTGTGTCCCTGGCCCTGTCCCTGTCCCCTGTCCCCTGTCCCTGTCCCCCCCATGTGTCCCTGTCCCTGTCCCCGCCGGTGTCACTGACACCCCCGTGTGTCCCTGTCCCTGTCCCCATCCCTGTCCCTGTCCTGTCCCTGTCCCCTGTCCCTCTCCCTGTCCCCGCTGGTGTCACTGACACCCCCATGTTCCCCTGTCCCTGTCCCCTGTCCCTGTCCCCATCCCTATCCCCTGTCCCCATCCCTGTCCCTGTCCCTGTCCCTGTCCCCTGTCCCTGTCCCTGTCCCTGTCCCCTGTCCCTGTCCCTGTCCCCTGTCCCCTCCCAGGTACCGGCAGGAGTTCGGGTTCACCATGCCGGGCCGGGCCGTGCTGGTGGACGATCTGCGGGTGCGCGGCACCGGCAGCACCGAGCCCGTGCCCGAGACCCCCCTGGGACCCCGCGGGCACCCCCCGCGCCCCGAGACGGTGAGGGGGCACCGGGGGGACCGGGGGGCACCGGGGGGACCGGGGGGACAGGGGGTACCGGGGGCACCCCCCGCGCCCCGAGACGGTGAGGGGGGCACCGGGGAACTGGGGGATACTGGGGGGACAGGGGGCACCGGGGGCACCGGGGGCACTGGGAGGACTGGGGGAGACTGGGGGGCACCGGGGGAATCGGGGAATGAGGGTCTGGGGGGCACTGGGGGTGACTGGAGGGCACTGGGAGAGACTGGGGGGACCGAGGGGCACCAGGGAATGAGGGTCTGGGGGGCACCGGGGGCACTGGGAGGACTGGGAGAGACTCAGGGGCACTGGGGGAACCGGGAAATGGGGGCACTGGGGGGCACTGGGAGGACTGGGGGGCACCAGGGGAACCGGGAAATGGGGGTCTGGGGGCACTGGGGGGCACTGGGAGGACTGGGAGATACTCAGGGGCACCGGGGGAACCGGGGAATGGGGGTCTGGGGGGCACTGGGGGGCACTGAGGGGGCCGGAGGAGTCTCGGGAACCGGGGGGGACCAGGGGGAACTGGGGGACATCGGGGGGCTGGGGGGAAATGGGGGTCTGGGGGGAAATGGGGGTCCAGGGGGTCTGGGGGGAAATGGGGTCTGGGTGGGGGGGACCCCCCAGCCTGGGGGAGGGTCTGGAGGGGCCGGGGCCACTGGGGGGCACCAGGAGCTGGGGGGACTCAGGGTTAGGGGTGCTGCAGTCGGGGGGTGGCCCAGAGGTCTGGGGGTGACCTCGGAGGTGACCCCGGTGACCCCAGTGACCCCGGTGGGTGCCCCCAGGTGACCCGGTGCTATTTCGAGGGGGGGGTACCGGGACACCCCTGGGTGACCCCTGGGTGACCCTGGGTGACCCCTGGGTGACCCCAGTGACCCCAGTGACCCCGGTGGGTGTCCCCAGGTGACCCGGTGCTATTTCGAGGGGGGGTACTGGGTGACCCTGGGTGACCCCGGTGACCCCGGTGGGTGTCCCCAGGTGACCCGGTGCTATTTCGAGGGGGGGTACCGGGACACCCCCGTGTTCCTGCTGGGGGAGTTGGGCAGTGACCACGTCCTGCCCGGGCCGGCCATCGTCATCGACACCAACAGGTGACACGGACACGGGGACACAGGGGGACAGGGATGGGTCAGGGACAGGGTCAGGGACAGGGACAGGGACAGGGATGGGGATGGGGACAGGGATGGGGACAGGGATGGGGACAGGGGACAGGGACAGGGACACAGGGGACAGGGACAGGGACAGGGATGGGGGACAGGGACAGGGACACAGGGACAGGGACAGGGACAGGGATGGGGGACAGGGATGGGGACAGGGGGACACTGGGGACAGGGACAGGGGACAGGGGGGGACAGTGGGACACTGGGGACACTAGCAGGACACTAGGGACAGTGGGGGGACAGAGGGGGGGACAGTTGGGGGGCTTCAGGGGCCCCCAGGGGTTTTGGGGGGTCCCGGGGGATTTTGGGGGGTCCCGGGGGCTTTTGGGGTGTCCTGGGGGATTTTGGGGACCCAGGGGAGTTTGGTTGGCCCAGGGGGCTTTTGGGGGCCCCGGGGGGTCCCGGAGGTTTTGGGGGGCCCCGGGGGGTTTCTGCGGATTCCGGGGGTTTCGGGGGGTCCCGGGGGTTTTGGGGGGCCCTGGGGGGTTTCAGGGGATCCCCGGGGGGGTTCCGGGGGGTCCCGGGGGTTTTCGGGGGGTCCCGGGGGGTTTGGGAGGTCCCGGGGGGTTTTGGGGTCCTGGGGGGTTCCGGGGGTCCCAGGGAGGTTTGGGGATCCCGGGGCTTTCGGGGGCCCCAGGGGATTTCAGGGGGTCCCGGAGGTTTTGGGGGTCCCGGGGGGTTTCGGGGGGTCCCGGGGGGTTTCGGGGGGTTTCGGGGTCCCGGTGGGTTTAGGGGGCTCCCGGGGGGTTTCGGGTGGTTCTGGGGTGTTCCGGGGGGTCCCGGGGGTTTTGGGGGGTCCCGGTAGGTTTCTGCGGATCCCAGGGGTTTGGAGGGTCCCGGGGGGTTTGGGGGGTCCCGGTGGGTTTCGGGGGGTCCTGGTGGGTTTCGGGGAGCTCCCCGGGGGTCCCGGCTCCCCCTGACCGCCGCCGCAGCACCATCGTGGTGGAGCCGGGCTGCGTGGCCACCGTGACGCGGTTCGGGGACATCAACATCGCGGTGGGCGCGGGGCCGGCGGCGGCGCGGGACACGCGGCTGGAGCCGGTGCGGCTCTCGGTGTTCTCGCACCGCTTCATGAGCATCGCAGGTGGGGCTGGGGGGTCCTGGGGGGGTCCTGGGGGGGTTCGGGGGGTTCGGGGGGGTCTCTGTCCGTTCCCGGGGGTCTCTCAGGGGTCCTGGGGGTCTCTTAGGGCCCCCTGGCCATGCTGGTTTCGGGGTGCTCTGGCCATTCCTGGGGGTCTCTCAGGGGTCTCTGCCCGTTCCCAGGGATCTCTGTCTGGTCCCGGGGTTCTCTCGGGGGTCTCTCGGGGGTCTATCGGGGGTCTCTGTCCATTCCTGGGGGTCTCTCGAGGGTCCCGGGGGTCTCTCGGGGGTCTCTTGGGGTTCTCTGTCTATTCCCGGGAGTCTCTCAGGGGTCCCTGGGGTCTCTGGAGGGTCTCTCGGTGGTGTCTTGGGGGGTACTGGGGGTCTCTGTCCATTCCCTGGGGTCTCTCGGGGATCCTGGGGATCTCTCGGGGGTCTCTCGGGTTCCCCGGGGGTCTCTCAGGGGTCCCGGGGGTCTCTTGGGGGTCTCTCGAGGGTCTCTTGGGGGTCCCAGGGCTCTCTCGGGGGTCTCTCAGGGGTCTCTGTCTGTTCCTGGGGGTCTCTTGGGGGTCTCTCGGGGGTCTCTCGGGGGTCCCGGGGGTCTCTCGGGGGTCCCGGGGGTCTCTGGGGGCTCTGGGGGGTCTCTCGGGGGTCTCTGGGGGGTCTCTCGGGGTCTCTGGGGGCACTGAGGGTACCCTAACCCCGCAGAGCAGATGGGGCGCGCGCTGCAGCGCTCGGCCGTCTCCATCATGGTTTTGGGGGTCTCTCGGGGGTCCCGGGGGTCTCTCAGGGGTCCCGGGGGTCTCTGGGGGCACTGAGGGTACCCTAACCCCGCAGAGCAGATGGGGCGCGCGCTGCAGCGCTCGGCCGTCTCCACCAACATCAAGGAGCGTTTGGATTTCTCCTGCGCGCTCTTCGGGCCCGACGGGGGGCTGGTGTCCAACGCGCCCCACATCCCCGTGCACCTGGGCGCCATGCAGGAGGCCGTGCAGTTCCAGGTGGGATTTGGGGGTCCCAGGGGGATTTGGGGGGTCCCAGGGGGGTTTGGGGGGGGTTTGGGGGGTCACAGAGGGGTTTGGGGGGGTTTGGGGGCTGGTGTCCAACGTGCCCCACATCCCCGTGCACCTGGGCGCCATGCAGGAGGCCGTGCAGTTCCAGGTGGGATTGGGGGGGATTTGGGGGGTCCCAGAGGGGTCCCAGAGGGATTTGGGGGGTCCCAGGGGGGTTTGGGAGTCCCAGGGGGGTTTGGGGGGAATTTTGGAGGTCCCAGGGGGGTTTGGGGGGTCCCAGGGGGGGTTTGGGGTTCAGCCCCCCCCCCATTTCCCCCCCAGATCCGTAACCTGGGCCCGGAGCTGCGGGAGGGGGACGTGATCCTGAGCAACCACCCCCGGGCGGGGGGCAGCCACCTGCCCGACCTGACCGTCATCACACCGGTGAGTGCCACCTGGGGCACCTGGGGCACCTGGGGACACCTGGGCACAGCTGGGGGCACACCTGGGGACACACCTGAGCACACCTGGGCACACCTGGGTACACCTGGGGGCACACCTGGGGCACCTGGGGGCACACCTGGGCACACCTGGGCACACCTGGGCACACCTGAGCACACCTGGGGGCACACCTGGGGCACCTGGGGGCACACCTGGGCACACCTGGGCACACCTGAGACACCTGGGACAGCCATGCCCCCCCTCAGGTGTCCTGGCTGGGTGTCACCAGCCCCCACAGTGTCACCTGTCCCAGGTGTCTAACCCCCCTCAGTATCACCTGTCCTGGTCCCTAACCCCTCAGTGTCACCTGTGCAGGTGTTCTGGCCGGGCCAGCCCCGCCCCGTGTCACCTGTCCCAGGTGTCTAACCCCTCAATGTCACCTGTCCCACCTGTCCCAGGTGTTCTGGCCAGGCCAGCCCCGCCCCATGTCCCACCTGTTCAGGTGTCTAACCCCTCAGTGTCACCTGTCCCAGGTGTCTAACCCCTCAATGTCACCTGTCCCGGTCCCTAACCCCTCAATGTCACCTGTGCAGGTCTCTAACCCCTCAATGTCACCTGTCCCACCTGTCCCAGGTGTTCTGGCCGGGCCAGCCCCGGCCCGTGTCACCTGTCCCGGTCCCTAACCCCTCAATGTCACCTGTCCCACCTGTCCCAGGTGTTCTGGCCGGGCCAGCCCCGCCCCGTGTTCTTCGTGGCCAGCCGTGGCCACCACGCCGACGTCGGGGGCTGCAGCCCCGGCTCGATGCCACCGCACTCGCAGAGCCTGGCCCAGGAGGGGGCCACCTTCGTGTCCTTCAAACTGGTCACCAACGGAGAGTTCCAGGAGCAGGGTGGGACATGGGGACATTGGGGACATCCTGGGGATTGGGGACATTGTGGACATCAGGGACATTGGGGACATTGGGGACATTGGGGACATTGGGGACACTGGGAGCCACCTTCATGTCCTTCAAACTGGTCACCAACGGAGAGTTCCAGGAGCAGGGTGGGACATTGGGGACATTGGGGACACTGGGGACATTGGGGACATTGGGGGCCACCTTCGTGTCCTTCAAACTGGTCACCAACGGGGAGTTCCAGGAGCAGGGTGGGACATGGGGACATTGGGGACATTGCGGACATTGGAGACATTGGGGACATTGGGACATCCTGGGGACATTGGGGACATCCTGGGGATCGGGGACATTGGAGACATTAGGACACGGGGAAGATGTCCTGGCTGGGGTGGGGACACAATGGGGGACAATGGGGACAAGGTGGGGACACTGGAGGCGCAGGGGGGACACGCTGCTGGCCCTGAGGGGGGTCCCGGGAGGGGACTTGGGGGGGTCCCTGTCCCTGTCCCCAGTGGTGACAGAGTCCCATGGAGGTGTCATTGTCCCTGTCCCCCCTAACTGTCCCTGTCCCCTCGCTGTCCCCAGTGGTGACAGAGTCCCATGGAGGTGTCACTGTCCCTGTCCCCCCTCACTGTCCCTGTCCCCTCGCTGTCCCCAGCGGTGACGGAGGCCCTGCTGGCCCCCGGGGCTGTGCCAGGGGGTGTCACTGTCATTGTCACTGTCCCTGTCACTGTCCCCAGGGGTGACACTGTCCCTGTCCCCTCACTGTCCCCAGCAGTGACCGAGGCCCTGCTGGCCCCCGGGGCCGTGCCAGGGGGTGTCACTGTCCCCAGGGTGACATTGTCCCTGTCCCCAGCGGTGACCGAGGCCCTGCTGGTCCCCAGGGTGACACTGTCCCTGTCCCTGTCCCCAGCGGTGACCGAGGCCCTGCTGGCCCCCAGGGTGACACTGTCCCTGTCCCCTCGCTGTCCCCAGCGGTGACGGAGGCCCTGCTGGCCCCCGGGGCCGTGCCAGGGGGTGTCACTGTCCCCAGGGTGACACTGTCCCTGTCCCTGTCCCCAGCGGTGACCGAGGCGCTGCTGGCCCCCGGGGCTGTGCCCGGCTGCTCGGGCACGCGGAACCTGCGGGACAACCTGGCGGACCTGCGGGCACAGGTGGCAGCGAACCAGAAGGGGATCGGGCTGGTGCGGGAGCTGATCGAGCAGCACGGGCTGGAGGTGGTGCAGGCCTACATGGGCCACGTGCAGGTCAGACCCCAAAAATACCCAAAAATACCCCAAATCCCCAATGCCCTGTGCCCCGGGCTGGAGGTGGTGCAGGCCTACATGGGCCACGTGCAGGTCAGACCCCAAAAATACCCCAAATACACCCAAAATACCCCAAATCCCCAATGCCCTGTGCCCCGGGCTGCAGGTGGTGCAGGCCTACATGGGCCACGTGCAGGTCAGACCCCAAAAATACCCTAAAAATACCCTAAAAACCCCAAATCCACCCAAATCCCCAATGCCCTGTGCCCCGGGCTGGAGGTGGTGCAGGCCTACATGGGCCACGTGCAGGTCAGACCCCAAAAATACCCTAAAAACCCCAAAAATACCCCAAATCCCCAATGCCCTGTGCCCCGGGCTGGAGGTGGTGCAGGCCTACATGGGCCACGTGCAGGTCAGACCCCAAAAATACCCCAAATACACCCAAAATACCCCAAATCCCCAATGCCCTGTGCCCCGGGCTGGAGGCCGTGCAGGCCTACATGGGCCACGTGCAGGTCAGACCCCAAAAATACCCTAAAAACCCCAAAAATACCCCAAATCCCCAATGCCCTGTGCCCCGGGCTGGAGGCCGTGCAGGCCTACATGGGCCACGTGCAGGTCAGACCCCAAAAATACCCTAAAAACCCCAAATCCACCCAAATCCCCAATGCCCTGTGCCCCGGGCTGGAGGTGGTGCAGGCCTACATGGGCCACGTGCAGGTCAGACCCCAAAAATACCCTAAAAACCCCCAAAATACCCCAAATCCCCAATGCCCTGTGCCCCGGGCTGGAGGTGGTGCAGGCCTACATGGGCCACGTGCAGGTCAGACCCCAAAAATACCCCAAATCCACCCAAATCCCCAATGCCCTGTGCCCCGGGCTGGAGGCTGTGCAGGCCTACATGGGCCACGTGCAGGTCAGACCCCAAAAATACCCAAAAATACCCCAAATCCCCAATGCCCTGTGCCCCGGGCTGGAGGTGGTGCAGGCCTACATGGGCCACGTGCAGGTCAGACCCCAAAAATACCCCAAAAATACCCCAAATCCACCCAAATCCCCAATGCCCTGTGCCCCGGGCTGGAGGCCATGCAGGCCTACATGGGCCACGTGCAGGTCAGACCCCAAAAATACCCCCAAAATACCCCAAATCCACCCAAATCCCCAATGCCCTGTGCCCCGGGCTGGAGGCCGTGCAGGCCTACATGGGCCACATGCAGGTCAGACCCCAAAAATACCCTAAAAACCCCAAAAATACCCCAAATCCCCAATGCCCTGTGCCCCGGCTGGAGGTGGTGCAGGCCTACATGGGCCACGTGCAGGTCAGACCCCAAAAATACCCAAAAATACCCCAAAAATACCCCAAATACACCCAAATCCCCATGCCCTGTGCCCCGGGCTGGAGGTGGTGCAGGCCTACATGGGCCACGTGCAGGTCAGACCCCAAAAATACCCTAAAAACCCCAAAAATACCCCAAATCCCCAATGCCCTGTGCCCCGGCTGGAGGTGGTGCAGGCCTACATGGGCCACGTGCAGGTCAGACCCCAAAAATACCCAAAAATACCCCAAAAATACCCCAAATACACCCAAATCCCCATGCCCTGTGCCCCGGGCTGGAGGTGGTGCAGGCCTACATGGGCCACGTGCAGGTCAGACCCCAAAAATACCCTAAAAACCCAAAAAAATACCCCAAATCCCCAATGCCCTGTGCCCCGGGCTGGAGGCCGTGCAGGCCTACATGGGGCACGTGCAGGTCAGACCCAAAAATACCCCAAAAATACCCTAAATACACCCAAATCCCCAATGCCCTGTGCCCCAGGCTGGAGGTGGTGCAGGCCTACATGGGCCACGTGCAGGTCAGACCCCAAAAATACCTCAAATACACCCCAAAACAGCTGAGAGACCCCAAAACCACCCTAAACCCCCAAATCCCCCCAAAACCCCCAAACACACCCCAAATATAACAGCTGAGAGACCCCAAGAACCCCAAAAGCCCCAAATACACCTGAGAGACCCCAAACCCCCAAGCACATCCCAAAAGTACCCAAAACCCCAAATACACCTGAGAGAGCCCAGAACTGCCCCGGGAACCCTGAAATCCCCGTGTGACCCCTGTGTGACCCCTGTGACCCCTGTGTGACCCCTCTGTGACCCCTGTGTGACCCCTGTGTGACCCTGTGTGACCCCGTGTGACCCCTGTGTGACCCCGTGTGACCCCAGGCCAACGCGGAGCTGGCGGTGCGGGACACGCTGCGGGCAGTGGCCGTGCTGTGACCCCTGTGTGACCTTGTGTGACCCTGTGACCCCTGTCTGACCCCGTGACCCCTGTGTGACCCCTGTGACCCCAGGCCAACACGGAGCTGGCAGTGCGGGACACGCTGCGGGCGGTGGCTTTGCTGTGACCCTGTGTGACCCTGTGTGACCCCTGTGTGACCCCTGTGACCCTGTGTGACCCCGTGACCCCTGTGACCCTGTGTGACCCCTGTGACCCCTGTGTGACCCCATGACCCCTGTGACCCCAGGCCAACGCGGAGCTGGCAGTGAGGGACACGCTGCGGGCGGTGGCCGCGCTGTGACCCCTGTGTGACCCTGTGTGACCCCTGTGTGACCCTGTGTGACCTTGTGTGACCCCGTGACCCCTGTGACCCCAGGCCAACGCGGAGCTGGCAGTGAGGGACACGCTGCGGGCGGTGGCTGTGCTGTGACCCCTGTGTGACCCCTGTGACCCCTGTGTGACCCCTGTGTGACCCCGTGACCCCGTGTGACCCCAGGCCAACGCGGAGCTGGCAGTGCGGGACACGCTGCGGGCGGTGGCCGCGCTGTGACCCTGTGTGACCCTGTGACCCTGTGTGACCCCTGTGACCCCTGTGTGACCCCGTGACCCCTGTGTGACCCTGTGTGACCCCTGTGTGACCCCTGTGTGACCCTGTGACCCCTGTGTGACCCTGTGTGACCCCTGTGTGACCCCTGTGTGACCCCTGTGTGACCCCGTGACCCCGTGTGACCCCAGGCCAACGCGGAGCTGGCGGTGCGGGACACGCTGCGGGCGGTGGCCGCGCTGTGACCCTGTGTGACCCTGTGTGACCCTGTGTGACCCTGTGTGACCCCGTGACCCCTGTGTGACCCCTGTGACCCCTGTGACCCTGTGTGACCCCTGTGACCCCGTGTGACCCCTATGACCCCGTGTGACCCCAGGCCAACGCAGAGCTGGCGGTGAGGGACACGCTGCGGGCCGTGGCCGCGCGCTGGGGGACGTCGCTGGCGGCCGAGGACACGATGGACGATGGGACCCCGATCCGGCTGCGCGTGCGGCTGGAGCCCCTCACGGTGGGGAGGGAGGGACAGGGACATGGGGACAGGGAGGGGACAGAGGGGGGACAGGGAGGGGACAGAGAGGGGACAGTGAGGGGACAGAGAGGGGACAGGGAGGGGACAGAGAGGGGACAATGAGGGGACAGAGAGAGGGGACAGAGCGGGGACAGAGAGGGGACAGAGAGGGGACAGTGAGGGGACAGAGCGGGGACAGAGAGGGGACAGAGGGGGGACAGAGTGGGGACAGTGGGGGGACAGAGAGGGGACAGAGTGGGGACAGTGGGGGGACAGAGAGGGGACATGGGGACACCATGGGGACTCAGAGACACTGGGGGACACCGTGGGGACACGGGGACAGTGCTTGAGACACAGGGACACCTTGGGGACCTGGCCACCCCCCGGGCTTTGTGGGGACACGGGGATGTCCCCAAGGTTTGGGGACCCCGATGAGGTCAGGGGGAAATGGGGGAACCCCGGGTGTGGGGACACCCGGGTTTGGGGTCACCCGGGTTTGGGGTCAGCCCGGGTTTGGGGTCCCTCGGGTTCTGCGTGAGTTTTGGGGTCACTCCCTGGTCCCTGGGCGGGTTTTGGGGTCCCCCAGGCTCTGGGTGGGTTTTGGGGTCCCTGTGGGCTCCGGGCGGGTTTTGGGGTCCCTGTGGGCTCCGGGCGGGTTTTGGGGTCCCTGTGGGCTCCGGGCGGGTTTTGGGGTGCAGTGTCCCCCCCCCGTCCCCCCAGGGCAGCGCCGTGTTCGATTTCGGGGGGACGGGCCCCGAGGTGCTCGGGAACTGCAACACCCCCCGAGCCATCACCCTGTCAGCGCTGATCTACTGCCTGCGCTGCCTGGTGGGGCACGACATCCCCCTCAACCAGGTGAGACCCCAAATACACCCCAAATATCCTAAATACACCCCAAAAACCCCAAACACACCCCAAACACACCCCAAACACACCCCAAACACACCCCAAACCCCATCAGTGCTGATCTACTGCCTACGCTGCCTGGTGGGGCACGACATCCCCCTCAACCAGGTGAGACCCCAAATACACCCCAAAAACCCTAAATACACCCCAAATACACCCTAAATACACCCCAAACCCAGCCTGAGCACCCCAAACACACCCCAAACCCCATCGGCGCTGATCTACTGCCTGCGCTGCCTGGTGGGGCACGACATCCCCCTCAACCAGGTGAGACCCCAAATACACCCTAAATACCCTAAATACACCCCAAATACACCCCAAACACACCCTAAATACCCTAAATACACCCCAAATACACCCCAAACACACCCTAAATACCCTAAATACACCCCAAAACCCCAAACCCACCCCAAAAAACCCCAAACCCAGCCCAAAGCCACAGACAGACCGAACCACCCCAAACCAGGTGAGGCCCCAAATTCCTCCGACCTCCCCACCCTGGGGACCTCAGGGGGGCTCAGGGAGTGCCCAGGTGTGCCCAGGTGTGTGCCCAGGTGTGCCCAGGTGTATCTCAGGTGTTCCCAGGTCTGCCCAGGTGTGCCCAGGTGTACCCAGGTGTATCTCAGGTGTGCCCAGGTGTGCCCAGGTGTGCCCAGGTGCATTTCCCCCCCCAGGGCTGCCTGGCCCCCGTCCAGGTGCGGATCCCGGGGGGTCAGGGCTGTGCCCAGGTGTGCTCAGGTGTACCCAGGTGTGCCCAGGTGCATTTCCGCCCCCCCAGGGCTGCCTGGCCCCCGTCCAGGTGCGGATCCCGGGGGGTCAGGGGTGTGCCCAGGTGTGCCCAGGTGTGTGCCCAGGTGTATCTCAGGTGTGTTTCCCCCCAGGGCTGCCTGGCCCCCGTCCAGGTGCGGATCCCGGGGGGTCAGGGCTGTGCCCAGGTGTGCCCAGGTGTGTGCCCAGGTGTGCCCAGGTGTGTTTTCCCCCAGGGCTGCCTGGCCCCCGTCCAGGTGCGGATCCCGGGGGGTCAGGGCTGTACCCAGGGGTATCTCAGGTGTGCCCAGGTGTGCCCAGGTGTGTGCCCAGGTGCGCCCAGGTGTGCCCAGGTGTACCCAGGTGTACCCAGGTGTATCTCAGGTGTACCCAGGGGTATCTCAGGTGTGCCCAGGTGTGTGCCCAGGTGTGCCCAGGTGCATTTCCCCCCCCAGGGCTGCCTGGCCCCCGTCCAGGTGCGGATCCCGGGGGGTCAGGGCTGTACCCAGGTGTGCCCAGGTGTGTGCCCAGGTGTGCCCAGGTGTGTGCCCAGGTGTGCCCAGGTGTGTTCCCCCCCAGGGCTGCCTGGCCCCCGTCCAGGTGCGGATCCCGGGGGGTCAGGGCTGTGCCCAGGGGTATCCCAGGTGTGCCCAGGTGTGTGCCCAGGTATACCCAGGTGTGTTCCCCCCCCAGGGCTGCCTGGCCCCCGTCCAGGTGCGGATCCCCCCCGGCTCCATCCTGGACCCCTCCCCCGAGGCCGCGGTGGTTGGCGGGAACGTGCTGACGTCACAGCGCGTGGTGGACGTGGTGCTGCGCGCGTTCGGCGCATGCGCGGCCTCCCAGGTGGGGGCGGGGCCGGGCCGGGGGGGCGGGGCCGGGCCGGGGGGGCGGGGCCGGGAGGGGGGGCGGGGCCGGGGCGGGGGGGGCGGGGCCGGGGAGGTTTTGGGGTATTTGGGGTCGGTTTTAGGGTCAGTTTTGGGGTATTTGGGGTATTTGGGGTCGGTTTAAGGGTCAGTTTTGGGGTGACAGTGTCCCCTGTCCCAGGGCTGCAAGAACAGCGGGGTTTGGGGTCAGTTTTGGGGTATTTGGGGGCAGTCTGGGGTATATTTGGGGTCTATTTGGGGTCAGTTTTGGGGTGTATTTGGGTTGGATTTGGGGGTCAGTTTTGGGGCATATTTGGGGTATATTTGGGGTGTATTTGGGGTCAGTTTTGGGGTATATTTGGGGTACATTTGGGGTGTATTTGGGGTGTCTTTGGTGTCAGTTTTGGGGTATATTTGGGGCGTATTTGGGGGTCAGTTTTTGGGGTGTATTTGGGGCGTATTTGGGGTATATTTGGGGTCAGTTTTGGGGTGTATTTGGGGCGTATTTGGGGTATATTTGGGGTGCATTTGGGGTCAGAGTTGGGGTGTATTTGGGGTCAGTTTTGGGGTGTATTTGGGGTGTATTTGGGGTATATTTGGGGTGTATTTGGGGTGTCTTTGGGGTCAGTTTTGGGGAATATTTGGGGTATATTTGGGGTGTATTTGGGGCTTATTTGGGGTGTATTTGGGATGTATTTTGGGTGTATTTGGGGTATATTTGGGGTGTATTTGGGGTGTCTTTGGGGTCAGTTTTGGGGTGCCACTGCCCGTCCCCAGGGCTGCATGAACAGCGGGGTTTGGGGTGTATTTGGGGTGTATTTGGGGTATATTTGGGGTATATTTGGGGTATATTTGGGGTGCATTTGGGGTCATTTTGGGGGTATATTTGGAGTATATTTGGGGTGCATTTGGGGTCATTTTTGGGGTGCCACTGTCCGTCCCCAGGGCTGCATGAACAGCGGGGTTTGGGGTGTATTTGGGGTGTATTTGGGGTATATTTGGGGTATATTTGGGGTCAGTTTTGGGGTATATTTCTGGTATATTTGGGGTATAATTGGGGTATATTTGGGGTGTGTTTGGGGTCAGTTTTGGGGTATATTTGGGGTGTATTTGGGGTCAGTTTTGGGGTGCCACTGCCCGTCCCCAGGGCTGCATGACCAGCGGGGTTTGGGGTGTATTTGGGGTCAGTTTTGGGTATATTTGGGATATATTTGGGGTACATTTGGGGTGCCACTGCCCGTCCCCAGGGCTGCATGAACAGCGGGGTTTGGGGTATATTTGGGGTATATTTGGGGTATCTTTGGGGTACATTTGGGGTGTATTTGGGGTATCTTTGGGGTACATTTTGGGTGCCACTGCCCGTCCCCAGGGCTGCATGAACAACGTGACCTTCGGCTCGGCCCGGGGCGGGTACTACGAGACGGTGGCGGGGGGCGCGGGGGCCGGGCCGGGCTGGGCCGGGCGCAGCGGGGTCCACACGCACATGACCAACACCCGCATCACCGACCCCGAGATCCTCGAGCTCCGGTGGGTCTGGGGGGTCTGGGGGGGTCTGGGGGGTCCCGGGGGTCTGGGGGTGTCTGTGGGGTCGGGGCTCCATGACCAACACCCGCATCACCGACCCCGAGATCCTCGAGCTCCGGTGGGTTTTGGGGGGTCTGGGGGGGTTTGGGGGGTCCCGGGGGTTTGGGGGGTCCCGGGGGTCTGTGGGGTCGGGGCTCCATGACCAACACCCGCATCACCGACCCCGAGATCCTCGAGCTCCGGTGGGTTTGGGGGGGTTTGGGGGGTCCCGGGGGTCTGGGGGGTCTGGGGGGTCCCGGGTGTCCCACGGGCTCCATGACCAACACCCGCATCACCGACCCCGAGATCCTCGAGCTCCGGTGGGTCCGGGGGGGTTTGGGTGGATTTTTGGGGGGTCCTGGGGGGGTCCCGAGTGGCTCCCTGAGGAGGGGTCTCCGGGGGTTTCGGGGGTCTCTCGGTGACTGCTGTGGGATTTTGGGGTGCCCCTCTTGGCCCCCCATATCCCCCTCCCCCCCCCCAGGTACCCACTGGTTCGACTTGTGGGGGGTTTGGGGGGTCTCAGGTGGGTTTTTGGGGGTCCTGACCCCCCTTTTCCCCCCCCTCTCCCAGGTACCCGGTGGTGCTGGGGGGGGTTTGGGGGGTGTCAGGGTGATTTTGAGGGTCCTGACCCCCGTTTTTTCCCCCCCCCCGGTACCCGGTGGTGCTGGGGGGGGTTTGGGGGGTCTCAGGTGGGATTTTGGGGTTCCTGACCCCCCTTTTCCCCCCCCCCAGGTACCCATTGGTGCTGTGGGGGGTTTGGGGTGTCTCGGGTGGGATTTTGGGGGTCCTGACCCCCCTTTTTCCTCCCCCCCAGGTACCCATTGGTGCTGTGGGGGGTTTGGGGGGTGTCAGGGTGATTTTGGGGGTCCTGACCCCCGTTTTTCCCCCCCCAGGTACCCGGTGGTGCTGGGGGGGAGGGGGTCAGGGCAGGTTTGGGGGGTGTCTCGGGTGGGATTTTGGGAGGTTCCTGACCCCCCTTTTCCCCCCCCTCCCAGGTACCCGGTGGTGCTGCGGCGCTTCGAGCTGCGGGCGGGCTCGGGGGGCGCGGGGCGGCACCGGGGGGGGGACGGGGTGATCCGGGAGCTGCAGTTCCGTGAGCCCACCCAACTCTCGGTGCTGAGCGAGCGCCGCGCCACGCGGCCCTACGGCATGGCGGGTGAGACCCCAAATCCCCCCAAATACCCCCAAAATTCCCCCAAAATCACCCCAGAAATCCCCCCAAAAATCCCCTAAAAATCCCCCCAAAATCCCCCCCAAAATCCCCCCGAGCCACACGGCCCTACGGCATGGCGGATGAGACCCCAAAATCCCCCCCAAAAATCCCCCCAAAATCCCCCCAAAAATCGCCCAGAAATCCCCCCCAAAATCCTCCCAAAAATCCCCCCAAAATCCCCCCAAAAATCCCCTCAAAAAATCCCCCCAAAATCCTCCTGCGCCACACGGCCCTACGGCATGGCGGGTGAGATCCCAAAATCCTCCAAATCCCCCCAAAAATCCCCCAAAACCCCCCCAAAAATCCCCCCAAAATGCCCCCAAAATCCCCCCAAATTCCCCCCAAAATCCCCCCAAAAATCCCCCCCAAAATCCCCCCGAAATCCCCCCAAAATCCCCCCAAAATCCCCCCAAAAATCCAACCCAAAATCCCCCAAAATCCCCCCAAAATCCCCCCAAAAATCCCCTCAAAATCCCCCCAAAATCCCCCCAAAATCCCCAAAAATCCCCCCCCCCAAACTCCCCCTCAAAATCGCCCCAAAAATCCCCCCCAAATCCCTTGGGACCCCCTCAATTTCTCAGCCCCCCACCCCAAGACCCCCAGATCCCCCCAAATCCCCCCCGATCCCCCCCAGATCCCCCCAAATCGCCCCAAATCCCCCCTGACCCCCCCTGACCCCCCTCCCCGGGGGCCCCCCCGACCCCCCAAATCCCCCCTGACCCCCCCTGACCCCCCTGACCCCCCTGACACCCCTGACCCCCCTCTTTCCCAGGGGGTCTCCCGGGGGCCCCGGGGCTGAACCTGCTGCTGCGGCGGGACGGGCGCCTCATCAACCTGGGGGGCAAGAGCTCGGTCAGCGTGGAGCCGGGGGTGAGCCAAAACCCCAAAATCACCCCAAAAACTGCCCTGAAACCGCCCCAAACCCACCCCAAAAACTGCCCTGAAACTGCCCCAAAATTACCCCAAAAACTGCCCTGAAAACGCCCCAAGATCACCCCAAAAACTGCACTGAAACCACCCCAAAATCACCCCAAAAACTGCCCTCAAAACTGCCCCAAAATCACCCCAAAAACTGCCCCAAAACCGCCCCAAAATCACCCCAAAAACTGCCCCAAAACTGCCCCAAACCCACCCCAAAAACTGCCCTGAAATCAGCCCAAAATCATACCAAAAATCGCTCCAAAAACCACCCCCAAACCACCCCAAAAACTGATCCAAACCTGACCCCAAACCCAAACCTGACCCCAAACCCGACCCCAAACCCCAAACCCCAAACCCCAAACCCCAAACCGGACCCCAAACTCGACCCCAAACCCCAAACCCAAACCTGTCCCCAAACCCAAACCTGACCCCAAACCCCAAACCCCAAACCCAACCCCAAACTCCAAACCCGACCCCAAACCTGACCCCAACCCTCTCTCCCCACAGGACATCTTCCGCCTGCTGACCCCGGGCGGGGGCGGCTTCGGCCCCCCCGAGGATGGGGGTGACCCCCAGGGCCCCCCGGAGCCCCCGGACCCCCAGGACCTCTGGGCCCCCCAGAACTGCCTGGGCCCCCAAAACCCTGGCGGCCCCCCGGGCCCCCCGACCCCACAAACCGTCCCGGAGCGCGGCAGCGCCTTCGAGTTCCGCCAGGCGCAGGAGGCCCTGTGACCCCACACTCTGTGGGGCAGCCCCACATCTGCTGTGTGACCCCAAACCCGCTGTGTGACCCCAAACTGCTGTGGGGCTGCCCCAAATCTGCTGTGGGGCAGCCCTAAACCGCTGTGTGACCCCAAACCTGCTGTGTGACCCCAAATCTGCTCTGGGGCAGCCCCCTAACTTTAGACACGCACAGTCCATAGGGCAGCCCCCTAACTCTGCTATGGGGCAGCCCCCCACCCACTCCAGCTATGCACCCCCTCTGTGGGGCAGCCCCTGATCCCATCTATGCACCTCCTATGGGGCAGCCCCTGACCCCGCTATGGGGCAGCCCCCCTTTAGATACGCACAGTCCATAGGGCACCCCCCAAACTATGGGGCTGTCCCCAATCCCATCTATGCACCTGCTATGGGGCAGCCCCATACCCTGCTATGGGGCAGCCCCTGAGTTCGCTATGGGGCAGCCCCCTAACTTTAGACATGCACAGTCCATAGGGCAGCCCCCTAACTCCGCTATGGGGCAGCCCCCCACCCACTCCAGCTATGCGCCCCCTCTATGGGGCAGCTCCCATACCTGCTATGGGGCAGCCCCCATCCCTGCTATGGGGCAGCCCCCCCTTTAGACACACACAGTCCATAGGGCAGCCCCCAGCCCTCCATGGGGCAGCCCCCAGCCCTCCATGGGGCAGCCTCCCCCCCAGCTCAGCCCCTCCATGGGGGGCCCAGCTCCCCCCTTTGGGGGTCCCCCCCAGTTCCCCCCCCCCAATAAACTTCCTGTGCCCCCCAACTCCTGTCTGGTGTCTTGGGGAGGACCGGGACCCCCAGGGACCCCCCCAGCCCCACGGAGCCCCCCAGGGCTCTGCCCCACAAATCCGGGGGGGGACACCGACCCCAGACTCTGGGGATGGGGAGAACCCCCTGTGCCATGGGGGCTGTGCCAGCCCCGCCGCAGAGAGGCTGGATCAATGCTGGATGGAGGCCAGATCAATGCTGGATCAATACCGGATCAATATTGGATCAATACCAGATCAATGCTGGATCAATACCGGATCAATACCTGATCAATGCTGGATCAATACCGGATCAATACCTGATCAATGCTGGATTAATGCCAGATCAATACCAGACCAATGCTGGATCAGTGCCAGATCAGTATTGGATCAATACCAGGTCAACAATGGATCAATGCCAGACTGATGGGTCAGTGCTGGATCAATGGTGAATCAATACTGGACCAATACCAGACCAATACTGGATCAATCTCAGATCAATGCTGGCTCAATACAGTGCCAATGCCGGATAAATACCGGATCAATACTGGATCAATGCCGGATCAATGCTGGATCAATACTGGATCAATGCTGAATCAATGCTGAATCAATGCTGGATCAATGCTGGATCAATACTGGATCAATGCTGAATCAATGCTGGATCCATGCTGGATCAATACAGATCCAATGCTGGATCAATCCCAGATCGATGCCGGCTCAATACTGGATCAATGCTGGATCAATGCCTGATCAATACCTGATCAATGCCGGATCAATGCCCAATCAATACTTGATCAATTCCTGATCAGTGCCGGATCAATGCCAGGTGTTACAGGAGGATTCCGACCCGGGGTTTGAGGTGAAGCCGGAGTGGGACCCCTGTGCCCCATCCCCCATTCCCAATTCCCCATTCCCATTCCCCATTCCCATTCCCATTCCCATTCCCCAGTCCCCATTCCCATTCCCCATTCCCCATTCCCATTCCCATTCCCATTCCCATTCCCCATTCCCATCCCCCATTCCCCATTCCCATTCCCCATTCCCCATTCCCCATTCCCATTCCCATTCCCATCCCCATTCCCATTCCTATTCCCCATTCCCATTCCCCATTCCCATTCCCATTCCCATTCCCATTCCCATTCCCCATTCCCATTCCCATTCCCATTCCCCATTCCCATTCCCATTCCCCATTCCCATCCCCATTCCCCATTCCCATTCCCCATTCCCCATTCCCCATTCCCCATTCCCATTCCCCATTCCCATTCCCCATTCCCCATCCCCCATTCCCCATTCCCATTCCCATTCCCATTCCCCATTCCCATTCCCCATTCCCCATCCCCCATTCCCCATTCCCCATTCCCATTCCCATTCCCCATTCCCATCCCCCATTCCCCATTCCCATTCCCCATTCCCATTCCCATTCCCATTCCCCATTCCCCATTCCCATTCCCATTCCCATTCCCCATTCCCCATTCCCATTCCCATTCCCATTCCCCATTCCCCATCCCCCATTCCCCATTCCCATTCCCCATTCCCCATTCCCCATTCCCCATTCCCATTCCCATTCCCCATTCCCCATTCCCATTCCCATTCCCATTCCCCATTCCCCATTCCCATTCCCCATTCCCCATCCCCCATTCCCATTCCCATTCCCCATTCCCCATTCCCCATTCCCATTCCCATTCCCCATTCCCCATTCCCATTCCCATTCCCATTCCCCATTCCCCATTCCCATTCCCATTCCCATTCCCCATTCCCCATTCCCCATTCCCATTCCCCATTCCCATTCCCATTCCCATTCCCATTCCCATTCCCATCCCCATTCCCCATTCCCCATTCCCATTCCCATTCCCATTCCCATTCCCATTCCCCATTCCCCATTCCCATTCCCATCCCCATTCCCGCTCCCGTTCCCATTCCCAGCTCACGGGGCAGGGCTGGGATCGATCCCAAACTCAATCCACACCAGAGATTTCCAAAATTCCTTCATGAACTGAATCCCGACACAGAGCCCCAGAGCAAAGCCCGGCTGATGCCGAGCAGCGCCCAATCAATGCCGGGCCGATGCCGGATCAATACAGATCAATGCTGGATCAATGCCAGATTAATGCCCAAGCTGTGCTGGACTGATACACGATCAATGTCCGATCAATAGCAGGCTGATCCTGCTCCGATACCGGATCAATGCTGGATCCATCCTGCGCTGATACCTGATCAATGTTAGATCAATGAAACCAGTCCTGATCCAATACCAGATCAATGCTGGATTCATCCTGCACTGATACATGATCAATGTCAGATCAATAGCAGGCTGATCCTGCTCTGATACCGGATCAATGCTGGATCCATCCTGCACTGATACACGATCAATGTCAGATCAATAGCAGGCTGATCCTGCTCTGATACCAGATCAATGCTGGATCCATCCTGCGCTGATACCTGATCAATGTCAGATCAATGAAACCAGTCCTGATCCGATACCAGATCAATGCTGGATCCATCCTGCACTGATACTGTATCAATACCGCACCAATAGTGATCAATACTGGATAAATGCTGCACCAATAGTGGATCAATACTGCACCGATCCTGCCTCTATACTGGATCAATACTGGACCAATATTGCACTGATCTTGCCCCGATACTGGATCAATGCCACTATTGATCATCCCCAGGGTCAGTCTGGTCAGTGACACCTGTGGGGACACGGCCGAGCCCTGGGGTCATGCCGGGGTCATGCCGGGGTCATGCCGGGGTCACAGCAGTGACCGGTGCCATGGTCACGCCGAGGTCACACCGAGGTCACAGCAGTGACCAGTGCTGTGTCCGGAGCCATGGTCACCCCGAGGTCACACCGGGGTCAGTGCAGTGACCGGTGCAGTGTCCGGAGCCATGGTCACACTGAGGTCACACCGAGGTCACAGCAGTGACCGGAGCAGTGACCGGTGCAGTGTCCGGAGCCATGGTCACCCCGGGGTCACGCCGGGGTCACACCGGGGTCACAGCAGTGACCGGTGCTGTGTCCGGAGCCACGGTCACACTGAGGTCACACCGGGGTCACAGCAGTGACCGGTGCTGTGTCCAGTTCGTGGCCACGCTCAGGTCCGAGCTGTGTCCGGCCCCGTGTCCGGCCCCGTGTCCGTGCGGGGTCAGAGGTCAGCGGGCCCCAGGCGCAGCCGCAGGGCCACGGGCAGGTGGTCGGACAGTGTGGCCAGCTGGGTGATGACCGAGTAGCCCGTGACCTCCTGTGGGGACAGCGCGGGGTCACTGGGGTCACTGGGGGGTCACTAGGGTCCCAGGGGGGTCTCGGTCCCCATGGTCACTCACGGTGGCCAGCGCGGGGTCACAGGGGTCAGTGGGGGTCCCAGGGGATCCCAGGGGGTCCCGGTCCCCGTGGTCACTCACGCTGGCCAGCGCGGGGTAACAGGGGTCAGTGGGGGTTCATTGGGGGTCCCGGGGGTCAGTGGGGGGTCACTGGGGGGTCCCAGGGGTCACTCACAGTGGTCAGCGCGGGGTCACAGGGGTCAGTGGGGGGTCAGTGGGGGTCCCGGGGGTCACTCACGGTGGCCAGCACGGGGTCACAGGGGTCACAGGGGTCAGTGGGTGTCACAGGAGTCACTGGGGTCACTGGGGTCACTGGGGGTCCCGGGGGTCCCGGGGGTCCCGGAGGTCCCAGGGGTCACTCACGGCGGCCAGCGCGGGGTCACAGGGGTCACAGGGGTCACTGGGGGGTCCCGGGGGTCAGTGGGGGGGTCACTGGGGGTCCCCTGGTCACTCACGGTGGCCAGCGCGGGCGCCCTCCGCAGCAGCACCCTGTCCACCCTCCGGCCCTGCCACGGCCGCGGCGCCCGCGGGTCCAGCGCCCCACAGGACAGGATGGGACCCGCCAGGAACCGCTCGCGTCCCTCGGGCTGCGACAGCGTCCTGCGGGGTGGGGACACGGGATGTGGGGACATGGGGACACGATGGGACAGCGTCCTGCGGGATGGGGACATGGGGACATGGGGACATGGGGACATGGGGACATGGGGACACGGGGACATGGGGACATGGGGACACAATGGGACAGTGTCCCACGGGCTGCGACAGCGTCCTGCGGGATGGGGACATGGGGACATGGGGACACGGGGACATGGGGACATGGGGACATGGGGACATGGGGACACGGGGACACGGGGACATGGGGACATGGGGACATGGGGACATGGGGACACAGGGACATGGGGACACGGGGACATGGGGACATGGGGACATGGGGACACGGGGACATGGGGACACGGGGACATGGGGACATGGGGACACGGGGACATGGGGACATGGGGACATGGGGACATGGGGACACAGGGACATGGGGACACGGGGACATGGGGACATGGGGACACGGGGACATGGGGACATGGGGACACGGGGACATGGGGACACGGGGACATGGGGACATGGGGACATGGGGACACGGGGACATGGGGACATGGGGACATAACGGGACAGCGTCCCTCGGGCTGCGACAGCGTCCTGCGGGACACGGACAGGGACGTGGGGACACAGCCGGACACGGGGACACAGCGGGACAGTGTCCGGCGGGACAGGAACACGGGATGTGGGGACACAATGGGACAGCGTCCTGCAGGACAGGGACACGGGACGTGGGACATGGCTGGACACGGGGACATGGGGACACAGCTGGACACAGGGACATAGGGACATGGGGACATGGGGACACAGTGGGACAGAGTGACAGGGGACATGGGGACACAGACACATGGGGACAAGGACACACAGGGACACAGTGTGACAATGGACTTGGGGACATGGGGACAGACTGACAGAGGGGACATGGCGACACAGGCAAGGAGGACCCTCCCCTCCCCCCTGTGCCCCTCCATGTCCCCACTGTCCCCCTGTGTCCCCAGTGTCCCCATTGTCACCTCCTCATCTTCTCAGGGGTGGACACGGGCTCCTCGTAGATCTTGAGCCAGTTGAGCAGCGTCCCTGGGGACAGGAGGGGACAGAGTGAGAGTGACCCTGGGCACGGGGAGGGGACAGGAGGGGACAGGAAGGGACAGAGTGAGAGTGACCCTGGGCACGGGGAGGGGACAGGAGGGGACAGGAGGGGACAGGAGGGGACAGGAAAGGGACAGAGAGGGGACAGGAAAGGGACAGGGACATGAGCGGGACCCCACACACGGGGAGGGGACAGGGGACAGTGGGTTCCCCAGGCACGGGTAGCAGTGGGGTCCCCGGGCAGAGGTGACAATGGCGTCCCCAGTCAGGGGGTGCCACTGGGGTCCCCGGGGAGGTGACAGTGGTGTCCCTGGGGAAGTGACAGCGAGGTCCCCAGGCAGAGGCAACACTGGGGTCCCCGGGGAGGTGACAGTGGTGTCCCCACCGATGGCCCAGGGCTGTTCCTGGCCCGACTCGCAGCGCGCGGGGTCCCAGAACTCCTTGAACAGGGGGTGCTCCTGGTTCTTGGCGTCACCTGTGGGGGACACGGCGCTGCTGTCACCCCCATGTCCCCCTGTGTCCCCCCTGATCTTCTGTGTCCCCCCGATGTCCTCCTCTCCCCGTGTCCCCCACCTCTCTCCCCCCTCGTCCCCTCTGTCCCCCACCCATGACCCCCCCATCTCTTCTGTCCCCTCCATGTCCCTCCTGTCCACCTGTGTCCCCCTGTGTCCCTCTGTGTCTCCCCCATGTCCCCCACCTGGCTCCTCTGTCCCCTGCCTGTGCCCCCACAGTGTCCCCTCCGTGTCCCCCCATGTTCCTTTGTCCCTCTCCCATGTCCCTTTGTGTCCCACACCTCTGCCCCCATGTCCCCCCCGTGTTCCCTGTCCCCACCCCGTGTCCCACACCTCTGCCCCCCCGTCCCCCCGTGTTCCCTGTCCCCACCCCGTGTCCCACACGTCTGCCCCCCGTGTCCCCCCGTGTCCCCTGTCCCCACCCCGGGAGCAGTTGTCGAAGTTGAGGTCCCCGCAGAGGACATCGAAGGCCACCAGGTCCCTCGGCCGTTCCTGGTCCCGCCGGAACTCCCGGAGCCACCGGAGCACCAGGGACAGCTGCACGTCACGGATGGGGCCATCGGCTGGGACAGGGACAGGGACAGGGACATGGGACATGGGGACGTGGACATGGGGACGTGGGGACATGGACATGGGGACAGGTACAGACACAGGGACAGGGACATGGGACATGGGGACGTGAACATGGGGACAGGTACAGACACTGGGACCGGGACATAGGACATGGGGACGTGGACGTGGGGACATGGACATGGGGACATGGGGACATGGGGACATGGGGACAGGTACAGACACTGGGACAGGGACCTGGGACATGGGGACATGGACATGGACGTGGGGACATGGACATCGGGACATGGGGACAGGTACAGACCCTGGGACAGGGACATGGGACATGGGGACATGGACATGGGGACATGGGGACAGGTACAGACACAGGGACAGGGACATGGGACATGGGGACGTGGACATGGGGACATGGACATGGGGACATGGACAGATACAGGTACAGGGACATGGGAGATGGGGACATTGACATGGACATGGGGACAGGGACAGACACAGGGACAGGGACATGGGACATGGGGACGTGGACATGGGGACATGGGGACATGGACATGGGGACAGGTACAGACACTGGGACAGGGACCTGGGACAGGGACACACAGTCATGGGACATGGGGACGTGGACATGGAGACATGGACATGGATGTGGGGACATGGACGTGGGGACATGGACATGGGGACAGGGACAGACACAGGGACATGGACACGGATATAGGGACATGGACATGGGGACATGGACATGGGGACATGGACAGATACAGGTACAGGGACATGGGACATGGGGACATGGACATGGGGATGTGGACATGGGGACATGGACACGGGGCAGGTACAGACACAGGGACAGGGACATGGGACACGGGGACAGGTACAGACACTGGGACATGGGGACATGGATATGGGGACATGGACACGGGGCAGGTACAGACACTGGGACAAGGACACAGGATGTGGGGACATGGACATGGGGACAGATATAGGGATGGGGACGCAGGGACTCACGGGTGTATATGGACATTGGGGGACATGGGGACACAGAGGGACAGACAGGGACATTGGGGACAGGGGGACACCGACACGGGCACAAGGAAACATGGACACAAGGACATGGGGACATGGGGACACATGGACAGATGGACACACGGATATGGTGGGACACAAACACCTGGAAACAACTGGACACCACCACACAGACCCAACACCCCGAGTGCCCCCAGTGTCACCCCTCAGTGTCACCCCCAGTGTCACCCCTCCGCCATCACCGTGTCCCCACTCACCCGCGGGTGCCTGCAGGTGGGTGCAGCCCAGGTAACCCACGACGCGCCGGCCCCGCCCCGTCCCCAACAGCACCTGTGGGGGACACCAGCCACGTGTCACCTCAGCCACGTGTCACCTCAGCCACGTGTCACCCCTGTGCCCCCCCAGGTGTCCCCTCACCTGTGCCACCAGCAGCCCCTTGTTGGCCAGCGCGTCCTCGTGGGCGCCGTTGGGGAAGGGGTGGAAGCGGGCGGCCAGCAGCGGGAAGCGGCTGCCCAGGACCAGGCCGCTGCCCAGCACGCGCAGCCGGCCGCAGCGCAGCCCCCCCGGGCCCACGCCCCACAGCACGTGCGGGAAGCGCTGGCCCAGCTGCCGGCGCAGGGTGGTGGCCGCGGTGGCATCGAACACCTCCTGCAGGCACACGAAGTCGGTGTCCGGCGGGATGTGGGCGGTCAGCACCGGGGGCATCGGGTCGGGCAGCGGGATCGGCCGCTCCGGCCCCGGGTTGGTCATTGGTGATGGAGCAGGTCCCAGGGTTGGGTTGGTGATCGGCAACTCCAGTGTTGGCACTGAGTCAACGCTTGGCCAAGGGTTGGTCATCGTTGTTGGGTTGGTCATCAGTGTTGGGTTGGTCATTGGTGTTGGGTTGGCCATCACTGTTGGGTTGGTCATCGGTGTTGAGTTGGTCATCAGTGTTGAGTTGGTCATCGGTGTTGGGTTGGCCATCGGTGTTGGGTTGGCCATCGGTGTTGGGTTGGCCATCAGTGTTGAGTTGGTCATCGGTGTTGGACTGACCATCGGTGTTGGATTGGCCATCAGTGTTGGATTGGCCATCGGTGTTGGGCTGGCCATTGGCATCTCCAGCCACGGCATCGTGCCGTCCACCGCTGCTGCCGGACTGGCCACCACCCACGTGTCCACCCTGGAATCGCCGCCCGGGTGCCCCCAAGCCGCGGTGCTGAGCGTGCCCCCGTAGCCGCCGTCCTGGCCGCGCCGCGGCTCCAGCAGCCCGTGGCGGTGCCCGGAAGGTTCCGCCGGCGCGCCGGGCGCCAGGAGCCGGGCGATGAGCGCCGCGCGCTGCCGCGTGCCGCCCAGGTTGCTGAAGCGGGCCAGGCCGCTGGGCAGCAGGCACAGGTTGGCGGTCAGGAAGGTGAAGCCGCGGGCTTGCCGCGGGTCCCAGGGCGCGGGCGCGGGCGCGGTGGCCGCGTGCTGGTAGACGAAGGGCCGGCGCTTGGCCTGCGCCGGGAGCCACAGCAGCAGCCCCAGGAGCGCCGGCGGCAGCGCCAGCAGCAGCGCCAGCAGCAGCGCCGGTGCCGCCAGCGCCCGCGCGCCCACGGCCAGGCAGCGGCCGGCCCGGTGCCGCCGCCAGCGCGCCCGCTGGGCCGTGGTGGGCCGCAGGGCCAGCAGCCGGTCCAGAGCCCAGAACCCGGGGGCCAGCAGCGCCTCGGCCACCGCGGCCACCGCCGCCGGGGCCCGGCTGGGGAACGGCGTGTCCGGCAGAGCCGACGGCCACGGCATCGGCGTGTCCTGGCAGTCCCCCCGGTCCAGTTCGGAGGCTCGGGCACAGTGGGCACAACCTGTGGGATGAGACCCCCGTGAGTGGGGAGGGACCCCGGGCATGTCCCTGCCTGTCACCTGCGGGGGAGAATGTCCCCGGATGGAGCAGGACCCTCCGTGCCCCGTGCCACCGTGGGAAATTTGGGTGTGACCCCCCCCCGGGAGTCCTGGTCAGTGTGGGAAACTCCTGTGGCCAGAGTGAGACCTCTCCCCACCCCGGACCCCCGCCCCACGTCCCGGCCACCGTGGGAAACTCCCGTGGCCGGAGCGGGGCCCATCCCGGCCACCGTGGGAATGTCCCCGGCCACAGCCGGACTGCCCCCGCGTCCAGCTGCCACCGTGGGAATGTCCCCGGCCGGACTGTCCCCCCGCGTCCAGCTGCCACCGTGGGAATGTCCCCGGCCAGACCGTCCCCCGCCTCCCCGGCAGCCGGGACCGTCCCCGGGATCCGGGACCGTCCCCAGGGTCCAGGACCATTCCCGGGATCCAGGACCATTCCCGGGATCCAGGACCATCCCCGGGATCCGGGACCATCCCCGGGATCCGGGACCCTTCCCCGGGATCCGGGACCATCCCCGGGATCCAGGACCATTCCCGGGATCCGGAACCATTCCCGGGATCCGGGACCATTCCCGGGATCCAGGACCATCCCCGGGATCCGGGACCCTCCCCCTGTCCGGGAAGCAGCAGCGGGGGTGACGGGCAGTGACCCCGTCCCGATGTCCCCGCGGGAGCCCCGAGGCCACCTCAGGTGGGTTCAGCCGGGCGGGGCCGCTCCGCTCCCGTCCCTCCTGCCCGGTGGCCCCGGGGCCCGGCAGTGGCCACCCGCGCCCCCAGGTGCCCCCGCAGCCGCCCCCTCACCTGTCCGGGGCTCAGGGGCAGTCAGGGGCCAGCGGGACCCGGCACAGGGTGAGTCCTGACCCCTCCCCTTGTCCAGGTGAGTCCCGGCCCCTCCCCTTGTCCAGGTGAGTCCTGGTGGATGAGCCCGGCCAGGTGAGTCCTGACCCCTCCCCTTGTCCAGGTGAGTCCTGACCTCTCCCCCTGTCCGGGTGAGTCCCGACCCCTCCTCTTGTCCAGGTGAGTCCTGACCCCTCCCCTTGTCCAGGTGAGCCCCGGCCCCTCCCCTTGTCCAGGTGAGTCCTGGTGGATGAGCCCGGCCAGGTGAGTCCTGACCCCTCCCCCTGTCCAGGTGAGTCCCGGCCCCTCCCCTTGTCCAGGTGAGTCCTGACCCCTCCCCCTGTCCAGGTGAGTCCTGGCCCCTCCCCTTGTCCAGGTGAGTCCTGGCGGATGAGCCCGGCCAGGTGAGGCCCCTGAGCCCGGCCAGGTGAGTCCCATCTGGCCAGGCTGGCCCGACAGGTTCCCGGCAGCTCCGAGCCCCCAGGGCTGGACACTGCACAGCTGGTGACACCTCACCTGGGCAGGTGGCACCTCACCTGGGCCAGTGACCCCTCACCTGGGCCAGTGACCCCTCACCTGGGCCAGTGACACCGCACCTGGGCCGGTGACCCCTCACCTGTTCAGGTGACCCCTCACCTGGGCCGGTGACACCTCACCTGGGCCAGTGACCCCTCACCTGGGCAGGTGACACCTCACCTGGGCCGGTGACCCCTCACCTGGGCCGGTGACCCATCACCTGGGCTGGTGGCACCTCACCTGGGCCAGTGACACCGCACCTGGGCAGGTGGCACCTCACCTGGGCAGGTGACCCCTCACCTGGGCAGGTGACACCTCACCTGGGCCAGTGACCCCTCACCTGGGCAGGTGACACCTCACCTGGGCCAGTGACCCCTCACCTGGGCAGGTGACACCCCACCTGGGCCAGTGACCCCTCACCTGGGCAGGTGACACCTCACCTGAGCCGGTGACTCCTGCCTGACTCCTGCCCCAGTTCTCCCGGATCTGCTGACTCTGCCTGACTCTGCAGCTGCCCAATCCCAGCATGGGATGTGCTGGACACTGGGAATGCTGGGTCACTGGGGGCACTGGGGACACTGGGGGCACTGGGGACACTGGGGGGCACTGGGGTCACTGGGGGCACTGGGGACACTGGGGGGCACTGGGGTCACTGGGGGCACTGGGGGCACTGGGGACACTGGGGGCACTGGGGGCACTGGGAATGCTGGGGGCACTGGAAACACTGGAAACACTGGGGACACTGGGAATGCTGGGGGCACTGGGGTCACTGGGGACACTGGGGACACTGAGGATGATGGCCATACTGGGGATGATGGGACACTGTGGATGATGGCCACACTGGGGTCATTGGGACACTGGGGATGATGGGGTCACTGGGGATAATGGGGGCACTGGGGGCACTGGGGGCACTGGGGACACTGGGGACACTGGGACACTGGGACACTGGGACACTGGGGATGATGGGGACACCGGGGATGATGGGACACTGGGAATGATGGCCATATTGGGGATGATGGCCATACTGGGAATGCTGGGGACACTGGGGGCACTGGGACACTGGGGTTGATGGCCATACTGGGGATGATGGCCATACTGGGGTTACTGGGGTTATTGGGGATGATGGCCATACTGGGGTCACTGGGACACTGGGGTCACTGGGGTCACTGGGACACTGGGGATGATGGCCATACTGGGGATGATGGCCATACTGGGGATGATGGCCACACTGGGGATGATGGGACACTGGGGATGATGGCCATACTGGGGATGATGGGACACTGGGGATGCTGGGCACACTGGGGATGATGGCCATACTGGGGATGATGGCCATACTGGGGTTGATGGCCACACTGGGGATGATGGGACACTGGGGATGATGGCCATACTGGGGTTGATGGGACACTGGGGATGATGGCCATACTGGGGATGATGGCCATACTGGGGTTGATGGCCATACTGGGGTCACTGGGACACTGGGGATGATGGCCATACTGGGGTTGATGGCCATACTGGGGTCACTGGGACACTGGGGATGATGGCCATACTGGGGTTGATGGCCATACTGGGCCATACTGGGGTTGATGGCCATACTGGGGTTGATGGCCATACTGGGGTCACTGGGTTACCCCCAGGGTCCCCCCAGCCCCAGCTCATCCCTCGGTGCCGTGGGTGGCAGGGCTGGCACGTGCCACAGGTGAGTCAGGCCAGGTGTGGCACCTCCGGCCATGGGACAGCCCCGACACCCACGGGGCAGAATTTGTGTCACTGGAGCCTGCAGGGACTGTCCCCAGTGTCCCCAGTGCCCACCCAGAGGGGTCCCAGTGTCCCCAGTGTCCCCAGTGCCCACCCAGAGGGGTCCCAGTGTCCCCAGTGCCCACACAGAGGGGCCCCAGTGTCCCCAGTGTCCCCAGTGCCCACCCAGAGGGGTCCCAGTGTCCCCAGTGCCCATCCAGGGGGGTCCCAGTGTCCCCAGTGCCCACCCAGAGGGGTCACTGCCAGTGTCCCCAGTGTCCCCAGAGCTCACCCAGAGGGGTCCCAGTGCCCCCAGTGCCCACCCAGAGGGGTCCCAGTGTCGCCAGTGTCCCCAGTGCCCACCCAGAGGGGTCCCAGTGTCGCCAGTGTCCCCAGTGCCCACCCAGAGGGGTCCCAGTGCCCCCAGTGCCCACCCAGAGGGGTCCCAGTGTCCCCAGTGCCCACCCAGAGGGGTCCCAGTGTCGCCAGTGTCCCCAGTGCCCACCCAGAGGGGTCCCAGTGTCCCCAGTGCCCCCAGTGCCCACACAGAGGGGTCCCAGTGTCCCCAGTGCCCCCAGTGCCCACCCAAAGGGGTCCCAGTGTCCCCAGTGTCCATCCAGAGGGGTCCCAGTGTCGCCAGTGTCCCCAGTGCCCACCCAGAGGGGTCCCAGTGCCCCCAGTGCCCACCCAGAGGGGTCCCAGTGTCCCCAGTGCCCACCCAGAGGGGTCCCAGTGTCGCCAGTGTCCCCAGTGCCCACCCAGAGGGGTCCCAGTGTCCCCAGTGCCCCCAGTGCCCACACAGAGGGGTCCCAGTGTCCCCAGTGTCCCCAGTGCCCATCCAGAGGGGTCCCAGTGTCCCCAGTGCCCACCTATCAACCCAGGGGTGCCACCGGACTGTGTCCCGGTACTGGGAGCAGTGGCACATGGCCCGTGCTGGCCCGGTGACACAGCCATTGTCCCCGCGGTGCTGGCCCGGTGACACAGCCATTGTCCCCGCGGTGCTGGCCCGGTGTCACCAGCATTGTCCCCAGGGTGCTGGCCCGGTGACACAGCCATTGTCCCCGCGGTGCTGGCCCGGTGACACGGCCATTGTCCCCGCGGTGTGGCAGTGTCCCCGGCATTGTCCCCGCGGGGCCCCGGGGCCGCGTTCTCCCGGGTGTGGCGACCAAGCCCTCCCTGGGGTGGCCCTTGTGGTGGCCCGCGGGCTGGGCAGGGGCCGGGCCACCCGTGCCAGTCCCCAGTCCCAGTCCCAGTTCCCAGTCCCAGTCCCCAGTTCCCAGTCCCAGTCCCAGTTCCCAGTCCCAGTCCCAGTCCCAGTCCCAGTCCCAATTCCCAGTTCCCAGTTCCCAGTTCCCAATTCCCAGTCCCAATCCCAGTCCCAGTCCCCAGTTCCAGTCCCAGTCCCAATCCCAGTCCCAGTTCCAGTCCCAGTCCCAGTCCCAGTCCCAGTCCCCAGTCCCAGTCCCCAGTCCCAGTTCCCAGTCCCAGTCCCAGTCCCCAGTCCCAGTTCCCAGTCCCAGTCCCAATCCCAGTCCCCAGTCCCAGTCCCAGTTCCCAGTCCCAGTCCCAGTTCCCAGTCCCACTCCCAATTCCCAGTCCCAGTTCCAGTTCCCAGTCCCCAGTCCCCAGTCCCAGTCCCCAGTTCCCAGTTCCCAGTCCCAGTCCCCAGTCCCAGTTCCCAGTCCCAGTCCCAGTCCCAATTCCCAGTTCCCAGTCCCAGTCCCAGTCCCAGTTCCCAGTCCCAGTCCCAGTTCCCAGTCCCAGTCCCAATTCTCAGTCCCAGTCCCCAGTCCCCGTTCCCAGTCCCAGTTCCAGTTCCCAGTCCCAGTTCCCAGTCCCCAATTCCCAGTCCCAGTTCCCAGTCCCAGTTCCCAGTCCCAGTCCCAGTTCCCAGTCCCAGTTCCCAGTTCCCAGTTCCCAATCCCAGTCCCAGTTCCTAGTTCCCAGTTCCCAGTCCCAGTTCCCAGTCCCAGTCCCAGTTCCCAGTCCCAATTCCCAGTTCCCAGTCCCAGTTCCCAGTTCCCAGTCCCAGTCCCAGTTCCCAGTCCCAGTTCCCAGTCCCAGTCCCAGTTCCCAGTTCCCAGTCCCAGTTCCCAGTTCCCCGCCAGTGCCACTTGTCGCCGCCCCTTGTCCCTCACCTCCGCACGCCGCCATGGCCACCGCCACCTGCCCGGGGTGGCCCCCGCCGCCGCTCATGGCCACCGGGGGCTACCGGGGGCTACCGGGGGCTACCGGGGCCACCGCCCCGCCGGGTCCGGCGCCGCTGCCACCGGAGGCTGCGGGGACGCACAAACATCCGCCGGTCGCGGTCACCGCGGCGCCGCCCGGCGCGTTCCTGTCCCGCTGCGTGGTCGGTGCCACCCCCGGACACGGCGCCGGGGCCACCGCGGGGGCCGGTGGCCACCGAACCGCGGCCGGACCGGTTCTCCCGGTAGCCCCAGGGAGAAGGGGGGGGCGGTGGTGGCACAGGAGTGGCGGTGGCACCTGTGTCGCCGCCGTGGCACTCGCGCCATCTCTCTCGCTTCGCCCGCACCCCCTCACCTGCCCAGGTGCCACCCCCGCGGAGGTGACACGGCCGGGGTGCCCCGAGCTGTCCCCGTCCCCTTCCCTGTCCCCCTGTCACGGGGGGTGGGGTCGGGTCCGTGTCCCCCCTCTGCCCCGCACCCCCGCACCTCGGTCCGTGTCACCTCCTGTCACCTCCTGTCACCCCCTGTCACCCCCTGTCACCCCCAGTCACCTCCTGTCACCTCCTGTCACCTCCTGTCACCTCTGTCACCTCCTGCCCCGCCTGAGCCCCCACCTGGGGCAGGGGGTGGCAGGGAAGGGGACAGGGAAGGGGACAGGGGAGGGGACGGGGGAGGGGACAGGGAAGGGGACAGGGGAGGGGACAGGGGAGGGGACAGCCCCCGGCCACCCCCCGGGACCCCCCAGGTGACCTCGGTGTCGGTCCCCGGCCGCGTTGTCACCTCCAGAGCCGAAAGGAGGAGCGCGGCCAAAACCGAAAGGAAAAGCGCCGTGACCCCCCCCAACCCCGCGCGGCTGTGACCCCTCCCAGTATGGACCCCCAGTACAGCCGTGACCCCCCCAGTACAGCCGTGACCCCCCAGTACAGCCGTGACCCCCCCCAGTACAGCCGTGACCCCTCCCAGTATAGCCCTGACCCCTCCCAGTACAGCCGTGACCCCCCCAGTACAGCCGTGACCCCTCCCAGTATGGGCCCCCAGTACAGCCGTGACCCCCCAGTATGAGCCTCCCAGTACAGCCGTGACCCCCCCAGTACAGCTGTGACCCCTTCCAGTATGAGCCCCCAGTACAGCCATGACCCCCCCAGTACAGCCGTGACCCCTCCCAGTACAGCCGTGACCCCCCAGTACAGCCGTGACCCCCCCCAGTACAGCCGTGACCCCCCCCAGTACAGCCGTGACCCCTCCCAGTATAGCCCTGACCCCTCCCAGTACAGCCGTGACCCCCCCAGTACAGCCGTGACCCCTCCCAGTATGGGCCCCCAGTACAGCCGTGACCCCCCAGTATGAGCCTCCCAGTACAGCCGTGACCCCCCCAGTACAGCTGTGACCCCTTCCAGTATGAGCCCCCAGTACAGCCATGACCCCCCCAGTACAGCCGTGACCCCTCCCAGTACAGCTGTGACCCCCCCAGTATGGACCCCCAGTACAGCGGTGACCCCCCAGTACAGCCGTGACCCCCCCCAGTACAGCCGTGACCCCCCAGTACAGCCCTGACCCCTCCCAGTATGAGCCCCCCAGTACAGCCGTGACCCCCCCAGTACAGCTGTGACCCCCCAGTACAGCCGTGACCCCCCCAGTACAGCTGTGACCCCCCCAGTACAGCCGTGACCCCTCCCAGTATGAGCCCCCAGTACAGCCATGACCCCCCCAGTACAGCCGTGACCCCTCCCAGTACAGCCGTGACCCCCCCCAGTACAGCCGTGACCCCTCCCAGTATGGACCCCCAGTACAGCTGTGACCCCCCCAGTACAGCCGTGACCCCTCCCAGTACAGCTGTGACCCCTCCCAGTATGGGCCCCCCAGTACAGCTGTGACCCCTCCCAGTACAGCTGTGACCCCCTCCCAGTATGGGCCCCCAGTACAGCCCTGACCCCCCAGTACAGCTGTGACCCCCCCAGTACAGCCCTGACCCCTCCCAGTATGGTCCCCCCAGTAAAGCTGTGCCACCCCAATGTCCGTCTGTCCCACCCCAGTGTCCCTCTGTGTCCCCTATGGGGCACGGGGGTCCCTATGGGGCAGAGGAGGGTCTCTATGGGGCTGGAGGGGCTTTATGGCCCCTCTCTGGGCAGGGGGGTCTCTATGGGGCAGGGGGGGTCCCTATGGGGCAGGGCGGTCTCTATGTGGCAGGGGAGAGTCTCTATGGGGCAGGGGGTTTCTATGGGCCCAGGCCCCTCTATGGGCCCGGTGTGGCGGTGCCCCCACCCGCAGGAATTTGTCACCTCGCGAGGACACTTTGTCACCGCGGCGATGACAAAGTGGAGCCGTGTCCGGGACAGCTGCCAGACCCCCCCGGCCCCACGGCGGCCCCACGGCGGCCCCACGGCGGCCCCACAGCGCCGCGAGAGGGGCGAGATAAGGTCCCCATCATGTCCCGATATAGCAGCGACAGGGACGGGCTGTCACCACCCCCCGGTGTGGGGACATTGGCCAGGGACCCCGTCCTGCCCCCCAGACCCGAAATGGGCCCTGTGCTGCCCCACATGGGACAATGGGGACCCCGTCCTGCCCCCCAACCCGAAATGGGCCCTGTGCCTGCCCCACATGGGACAATGGGGACCCGCGTCCTGCCCCCAGACCTGAAATGGGCCCTGTGCCTGCCCCACATGGGACAAACCCCTGTCCCTGCCCCACATGGGACAATGGGGACCCGTCCGTGCCCCATAGAATGCCCCAAAAGGGGCCCCCTGTCCCTGCCCCATATGGGACCATGGGGACCTGTCTGTGCCCCATAGAATGCCCCAAAAGGACATCCCTGTCCCTGCCCCACATGGGACAATGGGGACCCGTCCGTGCCCCATAGAATGCCCTAGATGGGGGACACCCCTGTCCCTGCCCCATATGTGACAATGGGGATCCCATCCGTGCCCCATAGAATGCCCCAAAAGGGGCCCCCTGTGCCTGCCCTATATGGGACAATGGGGATCCGTCTGTGCCCCATAGAATGCCCCAAAAGGGGCCCCCTGTCCCTGCCCCATAGAACCCCCCAAACAGACCCCATGTCCCTGCCCCATAGAACCCCCAGACAGACCCCATGTCCCTGCCCCATAGAACCCCCCAGACAGACCCCATGTCCCTGCCCCATAGAAGCCCCCAGACAGACCCCCTGTCCCTGCCCCATGAACAGTAAGGACCCCCCCTCCCATCCCTGCCCCACAGACAACCCCAAATGGGACTGGTCTGGCTGTGCCCTATAGAACCACCCCCAAACCTGGAACCCCCCGGGTCTGCCCCACAGCTCACGCTATGGGGTGAGCACAGGGGGCTCAGACCCTTCAGCCCCACGGAGACATCACGGGGGGGGGGAAGTGTGGGGCCGCCCCCTCCCCTTCCTTTATCAGCCCCCTCCCCCCCTCCCCACTGCTCCTCCCCCTGCCCCCTCCCCCCACCGCGCCCTATAAAAGCTGTGGGGCCGCGGGGCTGCCAAAGGTGCTGCTGTGGGGCAGAGACAGAGGGTGGGGGGCGAGGCTGTGGGGAGCATGTGGGGTGGGCACAGGGGGTGTATGGGGAGGCTGTGGGGTCTATGGGGCAGCCAGCGTTTGGTGGGTTATAGGGTGGGTTGTGTACCACGCAGGGGATCTGTGGGGCACATGGGAAGCCTGTGGGATCTATGGGGCACAGGGGATTTGTGGGGTGCACAGGGGTCTGTGGGGTACATGAGGGTTCTGTGGGGTACGTGGAAAAGCTGTGGGTTCTATGGGGCCACAGCGGGGTGGGTTACAGGGCTCAGTGTTTCTATGGGTCACGGGGTGGCTTGTGGGGCACAAGGAGGGTCTATGGGGCAGCATGTTCGTTACTGGGGGGTCACAGTGGGCCCATGGGGCACGTAGGGTGGGCTATGGGGTGCATGGGTTCTGGGAGGGGGCAGAGGGGTCTATGGGGTGCAGCCCCTTACCTGTGTCCCCACAGATCCCTCCATCCAACCCACCGGACCTACAGAATCCAGGTGAGGCCGGCGCTGGGGGGCAGCCAGGGGGCTTGGGGGGCGGGATGGCCATCGGGGTCTGGTCCCCTCCCCGTCCCCTCCCTGTCCCCCCCTGTCCCCCCTGGTGACGGGGTCCCTGTGGGGCAGAGGGTGGGCGCGGTGCTGGTGGCACCGGGGGGTCAGGAATGGCCCTGGAACCCCATGGATGACCACAGGGGTCAATCAGTGACCACAGGGGTCAATCAGTGACCACGGGGGTCAATCAATGACCACGGGGGTCAATCAGTGACCACGGGGGTCTATCAATGACCATGGGGGTCAATCAATGACCACGGGGGTCAATCAATGACCACAGGGGTCAATCAGTGACCACGGGGGTCTATCAATGACCACGGGGGTCAATCAGTGACCACGGGGGTCTATCAATGACCACGGGGGTCAATCAGTGACCATGGGGGTCTATCAATGACCATGGGGGTCAATCAATGGCCATGGGGATCAATCAATGACCATGGGGGTCAATCAATGGCCATGGGGGTCAATCAATGGCCATGGTGGCCCATTGATGACTGTGAGGGGGTCTATGGGTCAGTGGGTGGGTGAGGGTCTGTCCCCACCCCCCAGGTGACACTGTCCCCCAGGACAGATGGTGGACGCGGTGCTGGTGACATTGTGGGGTCAGGGATGGGCGTGGGGGTCAATCAATGACCATGGGGATCAATCAATGACCATGGGGATCAATCAATGACCATGGGGATCAATCAATGACCATGGGGGTCAATCAATGGCTGTGGGGGTCAATCAATGACATGGGGGTCTATCAATGACCATGGGGGTCAATCAGGACAGATGGAAGATGCGGATGGTGACATTGTGGGGTCAGGGATGGCCGTGGGGGTCAATCAATGACCATGGGGGTCAATCAATGGCCATGGTGGCCCATTGATGACACTGATGACTGTGGGGGGGTCTATAGGGTCAGTGGGTGGGTGAGGGTCTGTCCCCACGCCCCAGGTGACCCTGTCCCCCAGGACAGATGGCGGACGCGGTGCTGGTGACATTGTGGGGTCAGGGATGGCCGTGGGGGTCAATCAATGACCATGGGGGTCAATCAGGACAGATGGAAGACGCGGATGGTGACATTGTGGGGTCAGGGATGGCCGTGGGGGTCAATCAATGACCATGGTGGTCAATCAATGACCATGGGGGTCAATCAGGACAGATGGCGGACGCGGTGCTGGCGGCTCTGGGCGCGGCGGCGCCGTTCCTGCGGCCGGGCGAGCGCGAGCGCCTGGCGGCCACCACGCGTCCCTTCGACCCCCGCGCCGAGTGCTTCGTCCCCCACCCGGGACACGAGTTCGTGCGGGGCCGCGTGGTGGAGAGACAAGGGGGGAGCGTCACCGTGGAGACCGAGCTGGGAGAGGTGACATGGGGGGTCACGGGGGGCTTGGGGACACGGGGGGTCACAGGGGTCTCAATGGGACATTGGGGGGATGTCACTGTGGAGATTGAGCTGGGAGAGGTGACATGGGGGGTCACGGGGGGCTTGGGGACACGGGGGGGTCACAGGAGTCTGGGGGTGTCATGGGAACTTTGGGGTCACGGAGGGCTTGGGGACATGGGGGGGGTCACCGGGCTCTGGGGGTGTCATGGGAACTTTGGGATCACGGGGGGTTTGGGGACATGGGGGGTCACAGGGTCTGGGGGTGTCATGGGAACTTTGGGATCACGGGGGGTTTGGGGACATGGGGGGTCACAGGGCTCTGGGGGTGTCATGGGAACTTTGGGGTCACGGAGAGTTTGGGGACACGGGGGGGTCACAGGGGTCTCAGTGGGACATTGGGGGGATGTCACTGTGGAGACCGAGCTGGGAGAGGTGACATGGGGGGTCACAGGGGGCTTGGGGACATGGGGGGGTCACAGGGGGCTTGGGGACACGGGGGGGTCACAGGCTCTGGGGGTGTCATGGGAACTTTGGGGTCACGGAGGGTTTGGGACATGGGGGGTCACAGGACTCTGGGGGTCTCATGGGAACTTTGGGGTCACGGAAGGTTTGGGGACATGGGGGGTCACAGGGGTCTGGGGGTGTCATGGGAACTTTGGGGTCATGGAGAGTTTGGGGACATGGGGGGGTCACAGGGGTCGGGACATTGGGGGGATGTCACTGTGGAGACCGAGCTGGGAGAGGTGACATGGGGGGTCATGGGGGGTTTGGGGACATGGGGGGGTCACAGGGCTCTGGGGGTGTCATGGGAACTTTGGGGTCACGGGGGGCTTGGGGACATGGGGGGGTCACAGGCTCTGGGGGTGTCATGGGAACTTTGGGGTCACGGGGGGGCTTGGGGACATGGGTGGTCACAGGGGTCTGGACATTGGGGGTCAGGGGGTGACACAGCAGGGTCACCCCCTGACCCCCCTGACCCCTGCGTGTCCCCCAGACGGTGACGGTCAAGGAGGGGGACGTGCACCAGCAGAACCCCCCCAAGTTCGACAAGATCGAGGACATGGCCATGCTGACGTTCCTGCACGAGCCCGCCGTGCTCTTCAACCTCAAGGAGCGCTACACGGCCTGGATGATCTACGTGAGACCCCGGGGTGGCAGTGGGGACCCCAAAAATGGGGGGGGGGGCTGCCAGAACCACCAAACTGGGGGTCTCCAAAGTGGGGACCCTGCCCCCAAAGCTCAGGAGGGGCTGGAACCATGGGGGAGCTTCTGGGGACACCTGGAAGAGCAGTGGGGTGTCTGGAGCTTGGGGGGCTCCTGGGGGGTCCAGGGGGTCTCAGGGATGGAGGGGACTTCTTGGGGGTCTATGGGGGGAACGTGGGGCAGGGAGAGGCTTCCAGAACAATCCATAGGACACCTGGAGACTCGGGAGGCTTCCTGAGGGGGCGTCCATGGGGCACCTCCAACTTGGAGGAGCTTCTTTGAGGCACCAAGAATCTTGGGGAGGAAGCATCTCCAGACCCTTTTGGCCCACCCAGATCCCAAAATGTCCCATCCCTGACCCCCCCCAGACCCAAAATACCCAATTCTTCGACCCCCAGGACCCCTGAACCCCCTCCAGATCCCCCAGTGTCCCATCCTTGGTCCCTCCAGCCACCC